CCATACAATCCTACCCTAGTTTGATAGTGCGGTCGGTGCGTCAAACAGCTATTTCACAAATTGATAAATTGTATTGATTTTTATCCGACTACGGCAAAGCCAAATGTTTTAATAGTCTGGACCCACGGAGCATTTTTGTACATTCACCGATTCGGTCATACCTTTTCAGCTAACAAATGCTCATGAAATCACCGAATAGCTATTCTACTTAATTCTTCTTATTTTACCAAATCTGTGTACCAAAAATTTTATAAGCACAATATCATGACTTAAACGACACAAAATTTTCCGGGTCAGTTAAAAAATTTCTCACCTCCGATTTTTCTGAATACAGACGGTTCATTTTAAGCTGGAGGTTCTATTGTTTCTCTTACCAATATACATAGACCTTTAAATGATCCTTAAACGGCTTGACTTGTAAATATTTCATTAGTATTGACAAGTCTATTTTGGTTGGTAATATTTTTGTACCGTCAATAATTTTACGCATAATTTCACGATATGTTACCATGATCGTTACAACAAGGTATTTCTGTGTTGTTCAATATTAATGTCGAATTATACAAATTCAACAGCACACTTAAATTATACTATATATTGAACAGTAATTGAGGGAATGAATGAGTGATAAATGAGGACTGTATAAATGAGGAATATGAGGACTGAATAAATGAGGAGTAATAAATGAGGAATGAATCAAATGAGTGGTTGTTGTTAACTGGCTACCGGAGCTCATAGACATCGACAACGTAAATACCGCCACTCATCTTAAGACAAGAGTTCTAAGTCTCAGTTTTAAAGTACAACGGTTGCATCACCCTTCACAGCAGAAATAAGCAGGCGGTGGTACCTACCTACCCACCCGTGCTTGCTCACAAGACGCCTTACCACGAATAAACCAATTTTCATCATGGTAAACCAGAAAGTACAATCTAGTACTATCAAAGACAGGAATAAGTACATATCTAAACCCATTCCAAATATATTTATCAAGCGGTACCAATCCGAAGATCAAATGACGTGGGGAAAGTATGATATCGGGAGGTCGCGTAGCTTCATTCGCCCTAATACTCTCATAATAAATACGTGTTTCGATTTGAACGCACTAAATTTTTCACCAAAAAGACTCAAAAAGGCTGAATCTTACGCATATTTCTGTCCGCTATTTATGATAAAGTTCTATGTTCCATGCCGCTGTGTAGTTGTCATACGAACATTATCTTCGAGGTCATATCTAGTGAGGCCACACAATCTTGATGCACGTGACAAAATGTTTCTGTTTTATTGAAGGGATAACTCACTTTTATGATGGGCTTAGTAAGGTTTTTTGAGGATAATACTCGGAGAGAAACGTAATTATGTGTAGATCTATTTGTGTTATGTCTGAATGAAATAGACCTTTAAAAATCGAAGCTTTAATATAACGTGTATAAGTTTTCTTGAAATGCTGCTAAGGGATACAATAAAAGGCTTAAAAAGAAAATTGTATTTTTATAGCTTTCCATGAGAACTTGCAGATTCGAGAACAATAACATAAGTATCGTCAAAGTTTTCTTCAAGCATGACCGTATCGTGTAGTGTACTCATGAGGACTCTTGATTGTTAACACTGCATATATTCGCATTGACATGAAAGACTAAGTGTGTTAATCACGTTACCAGTAGACTATGAGCTCGCATTACCAAACCAAAGACACTCGATTCCCATTCCGGCTATTTATAACGTAAATACATTGCTCACTAAATTTTAAATGCTTCCTAATATAATTTAGAATACCTTGGAATAGTTACTGAACTTAAACGATATAAAAGCATTGTCCCTGACATTGCTGACATCCGTGAACGACGCTGACCATTCATCATCAGTTGGGCCGTATACTCATCTGTCCACTAAGGTATAAAAAAGGTATTAAAGGTGGCACAAAGAATACTACTAAGTGAGTCGCGGCTTACTGTAAAGTTCGTTCATAATACATAATTCGTAATGGTATTAAGGGAAGAAGGCGTCGAATTTATTTCAGAGATATTACAATGTAGCTTATTAAGATTACACAGGAAATATCTCAAACAAAAGATAAAAAAATTTACTACGTCAGCTAAAAAATGTTCATAGAAAACAGGAAAAAGTTCATTCATTATGCAAATAGATTGCAAACGCACAGTGAATTAGTTTCTATTGCATCAAATCTAATTACAATAAAACTGCAATTAATATTACCTAACTAACGTCGGTTTTGATGTGCAAACAGATATACAATTACGCACGAAAATATTTCATTGTTTTAGTAAATTAAACCTTATTATTAGACACATTAAGACTATTCACGGCATTGCTGGCATCGTATTCAATTTTTCTATTAAATTATAAGCAGCTAAGGTTCTAAATAGATTGGCGTAATATTTTTGGGTTATTTTATCACGGAATCTTGTTCGCACGCTCTAAATAATATGTGCCTAATATTTACTGCGTGGTTTTTAACAAAACGAGAATATGTTCATTGGCTTTAACTTTCTACGTTTTCTAACGTGAATGCTCTTTTAGCTTGTTTATTATTTTGTTTTTTCCACCGGCTAGTGTGTAGCAATCCTTTAAATCTTTCGAAGTAGTCGTGGGAGCTTAAAGGATAAAAAGCCAAGTGCATTCGTATCGTATACCGGCGTATAAGCGCATCGCTTGAATCCCACAGACAGGTAACATTTTATCTAATAAAATACGCACTTAACGCATGACATGGGTTTTTTTGGGCACGCATTTTTATTAATGACTTCCACGCATGGGGTTTCATTGTGTTATAAAAATCAAACCCACAAATATACAATTTTTTAAAGCTACTTCGAGTATTGGAGTGGTTAGCGGCATCGTCTCGATGCATTTTGGGTTTCGTTAAGGACTTAACATCAAGATGTCCATGAGCTCGTGCATCCGTCTATGCAAAAAAAAACACATTATAATAAGTGCACAATATAGTAGACGTTAGAGAAACACTGAGGAGGATAATAAATATACAAGCAGGGAATATGAATACAAATTAAAAAGCAATCAAGATTGTATACAGTTAAATGCTTAAGGTATTTGAACAAACATTTAAAAACATACCTACGTGTTTTTGAAAAATATTTTTAATTGTCTATAAACATACTCAAGAGTACATATTTAATTCAACTAAATATTGTACTCTCCCGATGTACTTGGTCATTATAAGCACGGCAGAGACCTTAATGACCATCGTACTGAATAAGCCGAAATATTTAAAATGTCATTATCATATTGTAAGTACAAATTTTACTTCTTTCACATTATCGTGAAGCCTACTGTGCCGGTATTTCATACAAAGAAAACCAGTTTAATTGTGTTATTTTCAAAACGCTTTAAGGGTCAAATGAATTGACAAAGAAGATAGGAATTAACTGTGTGTAAGCCACCTCCGACCAATCATATGTGAGGTCACTGTATAACATCGGGGGAAAGAAGATTATTGAGTGGATTTTTTGGAATCAAAAAAGTATATTTGAGTATTTTAATCTTATTTTGAAGTCGAAGCTGTGATCCAAATAATGAGTCTATTTTTAACTTCATATTTCAGTTAATATAATCGTCATCAATAGCCTACAACTCATCCAATACGAGCCACTGTTTTTTTTTTATTGCTTAGATGTGTGGACGAGCTCATAGCCCATAATTAAATCAATCTGGGCGTTGATTCCTGAGGTTGGTAGTTTCGTAAAAGAATAATAGTATAAAAATATTATAAAGTCCAAATTGAATTGAATCGAAATGTGATTTATAAAGAAAATCATTGCAAAAATAAAATCGTTTCGAATAACAAAATACGTGCTATTCTCATATTGGAGGCGCCGGGTATCGATCCCGGTACCTCTCGCATGCTAAGCGAGCGCTCTACCATCTGAGCTACGCCCCCAACAAATAACTCATGTAAAAATTATCATTATAAGGTCTCATTATACAATATTATTTTCAGTTACATTACTTTAAGAAAGTTTAAATATGTCACTTTTGAAACGGAATGAGTGTATAAAATATTTCGTGGTTCTTTACAAAACACAAGACGCCATAATAATATATTCTGATAGAATCAATAATGTTGTTTGTCTACTTAATCTAAATCATGCCAACAGCTGAGCGAGTTTTCAGAACGATAATTGTAGCTATAAAATACTTTTTTACCGTATTATACTTATTAGCTTATGAATAATAATAACACGTGAAAACTATTTGAAAATAGTTAAATGAGTTATATCTATTTTTAAAGGAACTTTATTTTATTCCATTTTTAAGACGTGGTAATAAACATCAGCCTATTTAAAATGTTTTCAATCAAACAGAAAATCCATCATCCGCTTTGATTTGTTTTATAGAAATTACATTTTGTTCATATGCCATTATAAAATATTTTTAATCGCGTATTCAACGCTTACAAACCTATACTGATGGACACAATTAATACTGCAGCCTACTTTTTTTGTTTCCTTAATTGGGTGAACGAGCTCATAGCTTACCTGGTATTCAATGGTTACCGGAGCCCTACCTTTTAGGACTATTTTCAAGCGTCATTTGTAGATGGATACGTTATGGCGGGAACAGCATAGACGCGAGTTCATTTCATAGACATTTGGAAACACAATAGAATGTCATGGTTCTAAGAAGTATGGATGAAAGCGCTCCAGTGGCGCGTGGTGCGATGCAGAAATGATTGTGACAGGAATATCTCAAAGTATTCGTGCATCTGACCAACTTCCGAGATAACAAGTATCAAGTAAAATATGTTTTAAAGTCTCCGTAAAGGAACTCATTTTCTCCACCAGTTTTAGATTCTTCGGCGTCCGTCACCATTGCAGATTGCCACCAGACGTATAATAAACACTCCAATTTGGGCGAATTTACAGCTTCAACCTCGAAACCTTGGCATTCAAATTTAAATTTAGATGAATAATTTATGAAGAACTTTTCCAATGAAAATGTTGTTTTTATTTGTCTCATAGAAATCATCAAATCAACAAGGTCGAGCGAAGAGGTTCACCTTCCAATCTACAGTGCGACAGCTGGAGCGAAAGAAGCTTGCCGAGAAGTTGTCCAAAGAAGCTGACCTCAAGGAGCAACAGAGAAGAACCGAACTGGAGGCCATGCGGAGGTAGGATTTGGGGATAGCCTTGTGATTTTTACCAAGTAGGGAGATAAAATGAAGACGTGAAAACATATCTTCACCAAAAACGCCATGGGAACAACGCGTGTCTGTTACGCTTTCACGCCCAAGGTACTAAACAGATTTTAACGAAATGTGGTAAGGCGAATCCTAGAAAGATATAGCTTTTAATTCCATTGGGCAGCGTAGGTGTTCGCCTACGTGTTACAAAGTGAAATGCGAAAGATTCTTCAGGTGGAAAGCTGCTTGTTTAATATTTGATAATATGATATTGTTTTCACAATTCTATTAGAATAATTGTTTTCGTACCCTTCAAACCGCAACACATAAATGCTTCGCAACAGAAATAGGGCAAAGAGTGATATAACTTAATTAGAACTCCGCAATAATAATAATAATAATAATAATAAGCCTTTATCGCTGTTTACTTACTAATTACTAACTTAATACATTACTTAATAATAAATTAAATTTAAGTGCAACTTATAATCAATTATTCCGTTCGGCGTTCGGTGTGGTTTTAAAAAACAGCTTGTCTCTCGACAAAGGCCTCCTCTAAAGATTGCCAATATTCTCGATTTTTGGCCATTCGACTCCAATGCGGGCCGGCTACACTCTTTATTTCATCTTCCCAACGTTTTGGCTGTCTTCCGAACTCCGCAATACGGGGTGTATTACCACCATACCAAATCAAAATTAGAATGGATTATGATTGAATATTTGAACTAGTTAAGAGTCTCGGCTTCATTGCCGTATTTCGGATTCCAGGGTAGAAGAAGAGTTCCAACGTAAGCGTGCGAGGGAGAAGGCGAATATCAGACAGCAGCTCCGGCTGGTGAGCAGTGGAGCCGCCAGCATGCCCACCACCACCCCACACTCTAAAGTAAGTACGTCATATCAAGGTCGGCAACCATGGTCCACCGCCAGACATATCCCGCCACTCCTAAATAAAATCTTACATTTAACAAAATGCATGGTTTGAAAATGGCGTAGAAGAACAAATTGTATTTGTTGTTAAAATTTCCAGGCACGCGACGAGCCGGACGGTTCCTGTCGGGATTCTCCTGCCGCGGAGAGGTCCCGGGACTCGCGCCAGAGACACAGCAATGCTTCCTCGGAAATCAGCGCCAGGAGCAAGAGTACCACTCCCGTGAGTACACTCAGTTCAACGCCGGAGTTACCTTCTGACAGATTGTAAACCCTCGTCTGTTATACTATTATAAGATATTTTTTTCCTTTTATAGTACAACCTTAATATAACGACGTCCTCGATTTAACAAATTCTTCGTTATCCCCCTGAATTTTCCATAAGAGTCGATGTAAAATATACCTTTACTTTGCGAAGATTTCTTGCGAACAACCTCTTTATAGCGAATTTTCAACTATTAAAAAAATAGGAAAATAACTCTTATTAACGAATTTTGTAAACCCAAAGCCTTTATAACGTTCCCACCGATATGACCCTTAATTCCAGAGTATGCGAATCAGGCTCGACAGGTTTGAGAAAAATTGTTACCTACCTAATGGTTTTTAAATAAAAAATACATACAGCCATTTGATAAAAATATGTTGTCATTTATTAGTAGAGGTTGTTCACTATAACAACATGAGTATCTAATGTTGAGGTGAATAAAACCTTTTTTTTTTGACATTATAACAAATGGTAGACCAACCTAATCTTATTATAACAAACCTCAGCTAACCGAATTACTTGATATAACGAATATTAATTACTTGTTCTCTTCCGATTTGTTATATCGAGTTTGCACTTAATTTTCAGTGCATAAGTAAAGTTAATACATTACTTATGTATGTAATAACGCTAATGCGTGCACAAAATAAATACTGGGTCAAGTACAATCGGCAGACCGACGTACGCGATGCGAGTGCTTCTGTTACCATATCGGTAACATTGTGTACGACCAGTCGATTGGGTTCGATTCATAACAACTATTGTCAAGGATGCCAACACAGGCAGACTTGGCTTACAGTTTTATTTAGGCCGCTTCAAGGATCGCGTGTTGGTAGATAGTTAAATTAGTTAACTGCAGTTCTGCGATTTATTATTTTGGATGGACTTTGTGTCTTATGTACCCTTTATGCCATTTTATTTAGGGTTACACTTGATCTAATTGCAAAAATGTCTAGCATGAACATCGATTCGTTCTCGCCATGATGACTCAAAATGTAACTTAAATTAGGCTAACCATTTTCAAACTACATGAACCCAATATTATGTATCTCATTTGTTTCTTTTTTCACGTCTTAAACACCATCTACTAAGGATAGTAATGGCAACATTAAGAACATTTGAAAAAAAAATACATATCGCACAATATTAGCGTTTCATTAATCTGTACACACACACATCCTTGCAGATCCGTTGCGTGGAGTTGTCGGAATGGCGCACAGAGCGTGCGGGTCGGGTCTACCGGGACTGGGCCGCCGCGCAGGCGCACGACCACCCGCCCGCCACCGCTCGCATGCCGAAGTCTACTCAAGCACTCTACAACGGTTAGATTACGACAATAAACTAATCAATTAGCATATCGGTTCGTCTGCTGCTACTAGCCGGAGCCAAGTCTCAGTTGCATTAGAATAACTGCTCTGGCTATTTCGTTGGGGCAAAAACAAAGCAAAAAAAGAGGTAATGGAGTCCCAGTACTTCTCGTGACGCAACTGATTGTTTTTTATATTGATTTTCATGCAAGATTTTGTGCTGTTACTTCGGATATCGTTTCTAAGCACAGGTTCACACATACTTCCCTTGGGTGATCCCCCGAGAACGGTTCAAGTCACAGTCGCATGACAAAGCATCACTTCGTCTCGTAGTTTCATAGTGAACGTTGAAAAGAACCATTTTTCGCAGTCTCGTAAACAACGTAGTGGTTCCACTGGGTCCGTCACGTGACCGGACGTGCATTATCGTTTCGGCCGTACCACTGACACCGATCGAATGTGGGCGAGGTCTCCGGCGGCGCACTTTATATTCTGTTATTGTAACTGAATGTTTGCGTAACGTATTAACGGGTGATATCTTTATTTCACCCTCTAGCTGATTGGTATCGCGACCGATAGTCGACTGACAACAATAGCGTGCTATACGTACGTAATCTGATGCGTTTTATAGCCGAAGGAGATCTACAACCGTAAAGTTGTTTTTCTTCTTCTGAAAACCAAATTTTGTTACATTTTCTTATTATTATTGCAATAAAGAATAAGTTAAGTGTTAAGTGGCTAATGATTGTCACGGGGCAACCTGAGGGGGGTCGTGGCTGAACCTCACGCTACCATCAATCTAACGCACTGGCACCAGGAGGATGGAACGGCGCGGCGGCGATTGCGGTCCGTGGTTGCTGTCATTGCGGAACGTACTGTGGAAGGGCAACCCGATATACGGTGTATTGAAAAAACGCTGGTTCTGACCCAGCAGGGTATCACAAAACTCCAGCGGCATTTCCCGGGCATCCTGACTGGCTGCCGTACCGCGGATACCGGCGTTGTTTGTGTGGTACCACGAGTCTGGTTGTAGTGTTGATAGCGGGAATTCCCCTACTCGGCCCGGTTTTTGTCCCGGGGCAGATATCACATCGGGTGAGAGAATGCAAGAGGGGTCGTTTAGTGGGTAGGGCCTTAAAACATCCATGGGTCTGCATCTAACAGATCTCACATCTATGAGATCGGGGATCCCTGTCCGAATTAAAAAAAAAACCCACTGATGATATCAGTTAAATAAAAAATGGTCAGTCATGAACGAACCGTTCAAGTTTTTTTTTTTATTGCTTATATTGGTGGACGAGCTCACAGCCCACCTGGTGTTAAGTGATTACTGGAGCCCATAGTAATCTACAACGTAAATGCGCCACCCACCTTGAGATATAAGTTCTAAGGTCTCAGTATAGTTACAACGGCTGCCGCACCCTTCGAACCGAAACGCATTACTGCTTCACGGCAGAAATAGGCGGGGCGGTGGTACCTACCCACGCGGACTCACAAGACTACCACCAGTAACTAATGTTGTTGTTAATCCGCACGTGCAGCCGCGGAGACGGAGGCGTTCAGTGGCAGCCCGCGCTCCGACAACTACAGACTTGAGTTCGCGCGCGGCCGTTCACCCCGCACGCCCCGCGCCCCCCGCCTCGTCGCCGCCGGCCGCACTCCCTCCTCCTCGGGGTCCGAACTCTCGCTCAGACAACCCATCAAAATCAGGTACTTGATCGTATTCTAAATTATAAAATAAATAATATTTAAAAAAACTAACAAAATACGCTTTTATAGAAAATTAAACTAAAAAATTTAAAATAAATTTTAATAAATTTGAATTAAAAATAGTGTAAGAAAAAAATATTTTATTGTAAAAAAAGATTCCGTTACAAACATACAATACGTCTGAAGCTAATAAAAGCGTATTAATAAATAATAATTTCCTCAATGCTGTTATGTAACGCGGCCTAAAGTCAAAAATTCTAACTAATTATTAACAGTTGAATTGTGTTGCTTCTGGTAATTATGCTGAACAATAGTTTGTTTGTTTTTAAACGTATAAAGCTACAAAATAAATATGTTCTATAATTATTATGTTCTATGAATGAGGTAATCAAATATATAGTTTTAAAACAATAATACCCGCAGACAACGTAAAAATGCATGATACAGTAGTGAAACTAAGCTTATTAGTAAAACGAAATCTAAGATGATTACAAATTATAATTAATAACAATTATTTTCCCTTAAGGTGGTGATTTTGTGGCCGTTTAGAGCTAATGTCTAACTAACTCATACAGGTGAGTGCTTTAGTCGCTTGTCAGCGCTCTACGACTTATTGTAGGTGCTTTGAGATAACGACGCGCCGTAGATGCTGAGCTTTAACTGTAAACAAAATAATATGTTTTCTAATAAAAATAATAATACTAAAGACGAGTGTCTTATGGATATCGGGTTGGAACGAGGCGTCATTTTCTATATCGTTTTCTGTAACGGAGACCCGTGGTCAGGTCACGCCTGGACGTGTACACCTTAGATAAAATAAATACGGTAAGCAGCGGCTTGGCTCTGTCCCCGGCATTGCTGAAGTCCATGGGCGACGGTAACCACTCACTATCGGTGGGCCGTATGCTTGTCTGCCTTTAGCGGCAAAAAAACTATGGTTTTTACAACAAATTTAATTCTTTGTACGATAAATTCTAAATAACCAAATAAGAATGGACGAATCCTACAATTACAATAATACGCAAATGTATGACAATAAAAAAAAATTGATTGTTTCCATGCTGGATTGATTTGTTGCTGTTATAAGCATTAGAATATAATTATATACATATATAGGTATATAGAGAAAGCTACTTGTTAAATTTCCGTCAATTGGTGGGGTCCAATACAAAATGTGTCCGTAGATTATATTCGGGCGCGCTCAAAAAAGCTTAAACCAGACTTGCCTTTAAAATGTACCACTATCACATCGACGCCGAGTCATTATTATTAAGTGACATAGTTCAGTATATTTAACACATGATTTGGACATTGTTAGTGGCATGACCGGCGATGGATAGTAGATAGTGTGGATTGGCAAGTTAGTAGAATTTTTTAACAGAGTACATAGTTTAATAACACAATACCTTTAAAGTTGTAACACTTTATTAACCAATCGTACAAATAGCATGCTTAGTAATTGAAAATGAACTAATGCCTAAGCATGAAAATACGGGCGAATTCAGAGTGCTTGTAAATGCTGGTGGAAAATCTTGTTTGACAATCAAAGTCAGATGAATAAAATGTATTGGTCAGTTTGTATTACGATCAAATGGAGTAACACCATTACCACCCATTTCTGACTCGGTGGTGCAATAGTTAACGCTCCTGACTGTTGTGCCGGAGGTCGTGGGTTCGATTCCCACATCGGGAAATTTATATGATGAACAGGTTTGTTTATTATGTATATAATTAAACGTAAATAAGTATGTATGTCAGTCTCTGGTACCCATAAAAGAGGGAATCCTAAATTGGGACCTGATGACCGTGCGTGATTTGTTCCCAATTATTCTTATTAATATAATTTCATTTATCTCATTAAACATTCAAGGAATTATTGGACAATTTGATCCAACATAAGTGGCATGGGATCCGAAATCCACGATACCAGTTTTGCAAACTGAACCTTTCAAATTTATGTTTCAAACCTTTCAAACGTTGTATAGAATTCTTTACGATCGTTTTAGGATAATGTTTCTATTCATTGATATTCAATCTATCATTCACTGTTCTAAAAATTGTAATTTCTTAATTTCAATACACAAGAAACGCTATAAAAGTGATTTTGCTAAAACTAGATTCGACCTTATGCCTCAGTCGATTGTGGTGTTAATGTAAATCTACATTTTGACTCATACTGTATGATGTAATTTTCTGTAGCGATACTACGAAAGAAGATTCTGAAGAGCCTGCTATAGTGCCTACGCTTCGTCCATCGGTGCCCGCGCGAGCCTCTGTCGCTATCCGCTGAGCACATACGGCACAATCAAAAGCCTTGATGGAAAAATAATTCTTATTTTAAACTTAAAACTTTTATTGGAAAATTTAAACTAAAACCGACTTTGTAATAGTGAAAAATAAGAGTGTTTTTAGTAGTACATTTCACAGACGTCATGATGTTTCGAGCCAACTTAACTGTCTATGAGCCAATTAAAATATTCATGACAAGGATTAATTTCGTTGAATTATAAAAAAATATGCTTTAATCGGTTTCTTGCGATTATAATTCTGTTAGTAATTGTAGCAAAGTCAAATGTAAAAAGAAAATTATTTAAATAGTTATGTACCTTAGAGACTTAAAATATTACTAAAGAAACTCCGACACGCAAATAAAAAAAGCAAACTGAACATGATATTTGTCATAGCCACGAAATGTGTCCAACTAACGATTTGAGAATGTTAAACCTGATATGAACAAGTCACGCTATCCTCTGGTCAGCTGTTTGTGTTGCATATCTATCAAAACGTTTTAGTTTTAACTAAAAACACATTAAGGACAATTTCTGACGTTTAATAGTCGAATACTCTACAGTATTCTTTTATATTCTTTGAAGACAAACGATTGTTGTCCAATAAATTTCACATATACGCCCTTATGGAACCAATAAGCAATAGGTTATCATATTATGTTATAATATGATCTATTGTCGTTATAAAAAAGTGTTTTCAGCAACACTCATAGTGGGCCTGTTTTATGCTGATATAGGCTACAAAAGTTAAAAACGTTTCCCCGCCAATTTTTGACACAACGCGTTAAAATAAAACATAGCGGTCAAAACCATAAACAATAAACGTAATTGTATATTTTAAAATGTATGTAAGCGTATAGTTTTATATCTTGATGTATTGACTCCGAAGAGTGCTTTAATGTTATAAGAATATGGTTTTTTATTAAGGAAAAATGTAAAGGAATCTTAATTTTATAGATAAGTTTAAAAAGTCTTCCAATTATCTTAAATATCCGAGCTTTAATATAGTCTTAAATAGAGTGCAGTGGTGCTATTCTTAATACATATTAGACCAAGAATAATATTATTGTATGTTTAAATAAATTACGTTAATAATTATACGATATATCGAAAGATGAAATATGACTTGTTTTAAATGAAATTTTATGCGTTTTGCAAGAGAGCCCGGAACATTGAAAATTCAATAATTAAGACGTAAGAAATGGTTTCTGAAACTTGTTAACTCTTATTGTAATACTTGATGAATTGTTTAAAGTGCTCTCTTGATTTTTTCATTTTAAAGCAATTAATCGATTAATCTTCGATATTTTGGATAAAATATAAATAAAAATATGCTTATGTAAAAAATGAAAAAATATATTTAAGAACTTTTTTGGTTTTTTTATTTATGTTTTAGTTTGGTTTTTTCTTGTCACATAACCCCAGCACCGATTCTTGTTTTCTAACTACCTAAACACCACCACCACCACCACCACCATAGGCATAACGACTAGCCAGCGGTCGGTTGTAACTATAATCGAAATCAAATTAGAACCTGAATACATATTGTGCCGACCCACCCGATTCTTTAACGACGTTGAGTGTTATACCTTTGTCTTTACACGGTTCTTATACAATATGTACTTACTATAAATCCACTAAAACCAAACCACCTTAATTATGTTCTTTAACGGGATCAGCTTAAAAAGTCTCAGTTGCAAACATTTTTGCCTTTTCTTACAATATTTTATATTTTAAATACAAATTTTTATTAGCACATAATAAATAAAAATAAGGACAACATTTGATCAATATTGATTTTGATTATGGTCCATGTATGTACAAATTCCAAACGGACATCAGTACATACTTAAAAATGAATATTCCGGGAGGTCGCTTATCGTTTTTTGAACTTCGTAGCAGTTCATAGGCGATTAATTTCAGGATGTTAATTCTTCTTTCATCTTCCCTATCTATTCATTGGTAGCCTAAAGGGCTATTCCAGATATGTGCGGATGATTGAGTCCACGGGTTCGACCTGAGAGAAGTTGCTAACACTAGCCCTAGCAAGTGCGATGTTTCACAGAAGAGGGAAGTTCCAGCGAGAAACTCAAACTCAATTCGTCATATAGATTAAGACTAACTGAATTTCAGATGCGATGTAACAAAATATACAATTGCTTGAAAAACAAGTATAAACCACGTAACATTTTTAGTGACGTAGATTAGCAGATGAGGCTCTGTTTGATCTGACAGTTGATTTGATCAAGATCAACTCCAATTGTGCTGTACAACGGATCTCCCCTCAAACCAGAGTAGGATTTCAATAATGTAACCAACCTATTAGCAGTTGAACTTAATTACTATTTAGTTATGTACATGTATGAAAAACAGCCGTTTGTAAAAATACTCCCACTATGTTGTGCCACGTCGCCTGATGGGAGTCTGTGACGAAATCCTTTTCTGAAAAATTGCCAAAAAAAATTTACAAAGTCTCAACTCAATCGGTTCTATGGCGTACGAATGTGTAAAGAATTAAATATATCACATAATTGTAACCCAGTTTTTAATGCATTACGTGCCATACCAAACCACACCCTAACCAACCCATACGTTTTCGACGTAGTTTGACTTTTACATTTAAATCGCTCGAATCTAATGAACTATGGTGACGTGTCCGAAAGGGTAGTTATGACCGGGGCGCGGCGGTAACCCGGTTAAGCTCGGTCGACGGACTCTTGCTGATGGATATTCCTGATCGATTGTCGTAATACTAATGCTTTGTTTGTTTTGTTACCAAATAATAATATGTACGTTTTTTTCTTTCTTATTAACATTTTGACTGCCATGTAGCGATGCCCTAGGTGGGGCACTGAAGTAATTATGTCTATTTCTCCCTTCGATCTTCTTACTAAGGCGTCGGTATATCTAGTAGACTCTGGGAAAGATGTATCCGAAGATACTGAGAATGAATCTATTTCTAAGAGACTTAAAAGACCAAAACATTCATTAACAAAGAAAAGACGGCAAAGTTAGTCAACTGCATACAAATTTGAGTTAACTTTTACGCTATCGAGAACGTTAAAAACTCGCACAATGTATGCATAAAACGCGTCGTCAGCACTAAATTGCTCCACGAAAGCTCTTTAGCCATTCAAAATAAACGCCAATCTATAAAAAGCATTAATAATACCTACTATCGCGTTTTTAATTTATATCGGGTATTTATACCTACGTCTAACGATAACTATTGTCATAGAAGAACTGACATGCGCATGACATATGACGTTGTAGAAGGAAATGTTTTTAGTTATGTAAAATAGTGAGCATTTGGAAAGTTGTGTCGGTGGTTAAGCTTAAACAAAGTTTTTGCTTGTAAAGTTCGAATTGATTTTTAAGTTTTTGTTTGGTTTAAGAAGACTTAAATTTCTAAAATTCGTAGACCAGAAACTTTTTTTTTCTTAACTCATATATTTTCTAATGTAAACTATATTACTGTAAATTCAACTTTTGGAAAACCCTAACTTTCATTAATGTTTTCTAAAATAGTGCATGCAATAAATGGCAAAAAATTATTATAGCTTTTATAGTATGCCTTCAATTTTGATTTAAACTTAAATGACGTTATTAGAGCTATACTTTAAGTTCAAACCAAAAAAGTAACCGACAAAAAAATAAAAAAAAAATCGCGAGAGGTGTGTTCACACCCGGCGACGTGGCGTATGAAGACGTACCGTTGGGATCCGGCGGTTCCGCCGTCCCTTTCTCTCGCTCGACGTCCCGTCAGTGTATAGCGTGCGCTCACAAAGCCAAGCTGTTGCCGAACATAGCTGAACCGGCTTCCGCTCCGCCGGTACTCATACCGACACCTATACCGGACCGGACCGAACCGGAGCTCACCGAAATACTGGAGACGGTTAGGATCACGCCGCCTATTAGGACAATGACGGCGAAATCGGAGAGTGGAGTAAGAGAAGCGCTGGAGGATAGAGATCCTAACAACTTGAATCAGCACTTACAGGTACCGTTCTGTTGTTTGTTTGGGATGTCTTATAAGCTCTTTTTACTAGCGCAGACCTATGGACTAATGGCATAACTTGTGTTAAGCGGTAATTGGTGTCCATAAGCTATAACTCCTTCTCTGCAGAGGCATTTACGTAAGACAGGCAACGACTTGGCTATGCCTACTTGCGGAAGTCTATAACCCACTGTAGCCACTTACCGGGCTGTACGCTCGTCTGCCTACAAAGGTACTAAAAAAACGTAAGGAAAGATGAGTGTGTTAGTATTTTCTGTGCTTTTTGCGAGTCGTAGACATATTTATTATTATCCTTACGACTTAGTCTCGCTTTGTTTATGGTATAATTTTTCCGAGTATCAAATACTTTACAGTCTTCGTGGTCGCGGGAGGCTAAAGTGTTGTATGACGATATTTTAAAATTGTGCTATTATGGGTTAGTACCAGCCGTTTAAATATTAAGGATGTTACTACGAATGTGCCCTTTATAATAATCAGATTTTTGTACCTTGAGTTTTGATTTTATTATTGATCTAAGTCGGTATGGTGGTCCGTATGAGTATATTTATTCTCGTTTCGTAAGTGTTTCCAGTAATCATAATCTGAAAGTCAATCCAGGACTGAGTTCACTAAATGCCAATTATTTTTAATTTGTATGTTGACATTAATTACTTTATACATTTATTAAATTGTTGCTAAATTTTAAATAGGAATATATTTGAAGTTGTTCAGACTGCTCTTTAGCCTATCTTCTCAGGACTGAGGCTCTTTGGCACCGGAGATACTTTATTTGATGATTCGCTAATTACGTTACACGAGATTCGATTTGAATTATTAGTTTTATTTCAATTGGAAATATTTGTTAGCTCTATTTAATTTGATGCAATACTACCATTACTGCTTAATCTCAAAATTATTTTTTGGAAATTGCCAACACTGACCCTAGTAAGAGCAGTTCTTCGCAGAATCTTCCACCGGATCGGAAACGCGAAGCGCGAACCACTAAGAAGATCCGGCGAGAAACTTAGTGAGCTGTGTCTGTAAGTTATAACAAGCCGACTCCTTCGTCGCAAGTGCCGTCGCTTGTTCGACGTTCGACGTGAACGATAACCGGTGCTGAGGATAAAAGCACCGTTAGAGGATCGGGAAGGATATGAAATGACGTGTTTTGGGCGTCGATGATTGTTTGCCATTCGGTCCGCAAGATCGTGACTGTAATGGGTAGATATTCTCAATGACCACTACTTATCTTTAGCTACCGAATCGCTTAGATTCAACAAACTAAGAATGTCGCCGAGCCACGAAACTTCACGGCTATTTCTCCTTAGAGACTTATATTCATTTCGCCCAAGAAATGTATGATACGGAGATATCAGTGCCTGTGTCTAATGCATTCCCTATCCAAGACTCAACATAGGTATTAGGAAAGAATTCCTAGAGAAATAACCCATTTCATCCCGAACCATTTCAGCTGTTTTAAAAGAGATGAAATTATATTTTAATAGAATTTGACGTTAAAATGATTGCTTATAATGTAGCACAGTTTTTTGACATGGACCATGCCATTTAAACAATTTTCTCATCTTTATGAGTTTACAAAAAAACGGGTAATAATTATAGAGCATAATATTCAAATAACATCTTTTGTAGTTATGAAAATACAACCCTTAAAAATAGATTCGTGTTTCAGCGCCGGACGCGAAATTTACATAAAACAACTGAATAAAAAACCCGTTCATGATATGTGTTATGTTATTTTGTTTAAGTGGCAAATGGAAAATGAAGGTCGAACCATGAAAAGCCCTTCGTTAGGTGACGTCATTAGCCGGACTGGTATTCTTTGTTTACTTTGTAACAGTTCGGAAAAGAACGCCATTTTATTGTTATTGCTACGCGTCTACGTAAAGGCGCTCTAGGTATATATTTACTTAGTGAATAATTATTATTTTAGGTTGAATTGTTTTTACATCCTTTTGGATTTCCGGAGCTTGACTAGCTTATTAACTATTGGAAATCTCTGTCTTTGGAAATTAAAATTATTTAAATGTTTTTCCTAAAAGTATTAAATACTGTATGCAATGCCTTGAATCCTATAGGATTCTTAATATGCGCTATACAATCAATACTTTAGTGATATTAATCACCAGAGATATTAATTTGTAACATCAAGCGAAACAGCATATCGCTTCAAATAGCCAGCTTAAAATTATTTTATGTTAAGCTAACGCCATAACATTATTAATAAAATCAGATTTAGTGAATAATCAACGGAACCCACAAATTCTGTATTCGATACAAATATGGACTGGTGGAATATTACTGGTAGTAGGAGCTCTTGTGTGTCCGCACGGGTAGATACCATCGCCCTGCCCATTTCTGCCGTGAAGCAGTAGGTATGCGTTTCGGTTTGAAGGGTGGGGCAGCCGTTGTAACTATACTGAGACCTTAGAACTTATATCTCAAGGTGGGTGGCGGATTTACGTTGTAGATGTCCATGGGCTCCAGTAACCACTTAACACCAGGTGGGCCGTGAGCTCGTCCACCCATCTAACCGGAGTAGAGTTCATCCATACTACCTGGAGCCACTGCGGTCATCCACAGCGCGTTTCCAGAGGTCTTTTTTGCCACGTACCATCCGGCTATGGAATGAGCTCCTTTTCCCGGTGTTTCCCGAGCGCTATGACATTTCCTTCTTCAAACGAGGCTTGTGGAGAGTATCATAAGCGGCTTGGCTCTGCCCCTGGCATTGCTGAAGTCCATGGGCGACGGTAACCACTCACCATCAGGTGGGCCGTATGCTCGTCTGCCTACAAGGGCAATAAAAAAAAAGCAATAAAAAAAAATGGAAAACTGTAAAGTGTACATATAGTGTAGTACCGTAGTACCGTACCTATAGTGTACATTCAGTGGTTTAATACGAATCCTGACAATATTTAATGAAACAATAAGGGAATCGCGTGACCACTGGCCGGGCGCCCGCTGTGAATTACTTAAGCCTTCCAGTTTTCTAATTAGATGCCCAGTACTTTCAACCCGGCCAGAACGAAATAAACATTATCTGATTCACGCAAGCCCCTGACATTTTCGACCACCCATTTTTCATTTTACATATTTTAATTCACTTTTCAATTATTCAAATGGATAATAAATCTGTTGAGTGCATATTACTTCAATACGCTGATTCGTTTTTTATTAATCTTAATTTATGACATAGATTATGTAGGCGTTTTGAATGATAAGATTGTATATATTTTTTTGATTACAAGGGTAATAGAGCTCACGGCCTAACTGGTGTTAAGTGATTACCGGAGCTCATAGATGATAGAGCCCACAACAAAATTCCGCCACCAACCTTACGACATTATAGACTATGGAATCGTTCTTTTTTTATTGCTTAGATGGGTGGACGAGCTCACGGCCCACCTGATGTTAAATGGTTACCGGAGCCCATAGACATCTACAACGGAAATGCCGCCACCCGCCTTGAGATAAGAGTTTTAAAGTCTCAGTATAGTTACAACGGCTGCCCCACCCATCAAACCGAAACGCATTACTGCTTCACGGCACAAATAGGCAGAGTGATGGTACCTACCCGTGCGGATTCACAAGAGGTACTACCACCAGTAAATATGCAAATTTTAATTTTGCGGGTTTGGTTTTTATTACACGATGTTATTCCTTCACTGTGGAAGTATATCGTGTGAACATTTGTTAGGTACGTATTTCATTAGAAAAATTGGTACCCGCCTGCGGGATTCGAACATCGGTGCATCGCTAGATAAGAATGCACCGGACGTATTATCCTTTAGGCTACGACGACTTCAAAACTTTAGTACAACGACGTCCCCACCCTTCAAATTGGAACACATCACTGGTTGGCGGTCGAAATCGGCAGGGCAGTACCTACCCGTGTGGGTTCACAAGATCCTACCACCGCTTAGTTCCTACAGAAGCTAATTCGTCATACATGATACACCAAGGAAATTGCGATGCATGTTGAAATCGGCGATATGACAACTTCGTGATTATTAATGATTAATAATGTCAGACCACAAAACAATTTACCGCATCACAGTGTAGACTGAGATATAATCACACAGTATAGGATCTTCAGGTAAAACTTTAAGCCCATTAGGTAGAGGTTTTCAGCTTTAGCACTTCGTCGCGGCTAATAGGATTCATCCATGTCTGTATGTCATCAACATCTAGATATAAACAGAAAAAGACAAAACAGTTGGGCACCATTTTCTTTTAAGTTTACACATAAATACATATATAATGATATGGAGTATATCAAAATGAATAATCAATAAAGCCTCAATTGTGTTTTCAGTGATATAATAAGTAAACAACATTTAAAGCCCTTAATCTCTTTTAAAATTAATATAAAAAATTTAATAATAAACACTCTTAATAAACTATACAAAACTGAGTTTTCTTTTTTACTGAATGACAGAGTCCATGACACTGATTGATACTGAAGAAAAATCCTTTTAAAAACTAAAGTGTTTTATTACATAAAAGAGGTTTTGTACAGTAGCCATTGATGAGTTTTAGAGTTAACAATTTCATTTAAAAAAATTTGTTTTGTTTTTCGGAATCTTTTATATCAAAAAATATTAGATAAAATGAATTTAAAATTTTAGATTTCAGTTATTACGGTCGACTTTAAATTGAATCTATTTTGGCAACATTCTATATACATATACTAGTATGAAACCTTGTAAAGCAGTTGACGAAAATTTAAATAGGCTTTATCGTAATGCTTTTATTTTTATATTGGATGGGTGAACGAGTTTATGGCCCACCTGCAGTTAAGTGGTTACTGGAGCCCATAGACAACGCGAATACCTCCGCTTGGCTTGAGGTCAAAATCTCAATTGTAATGTAAGTTTCATCAATGTAATGTTTTTCGTAGGATAGTCTTTCATAGTCTAATACGTCAGGTTTGAGCCCCATGAGCTCACCTACTAGTTAAGGTTACGCTAAAATGGTCTCTCAAGACCATCAGCTGAAAGAAAACATAGTCTGATACTAGAGTTTGAATATCTGAAACTAAACTACTGATACGTAAAGTAGGTAAAACCTTTTGATAATGTAATTAAGTTGTTTTAGGCACGATAGTTAACTACCAATAAACATTGAGCCGTTGAAATAACTAACTCATTCGCCGATCTAAGGCTTTACAAATATTGGTAGTAAACATGTACTACGACCTATAACATTGACACACTAACACGCAAAAACTAATCGACTTTCCCTCAATCAAGAATTCAATTCACTCAGTCAAATAGGGTGCAAAGCGATTTTGCGTGAATACTTCGGGGCTGGGCCAATCAGCTTATAGTGCGGGTATTTCGATGGATCATTCGCATTCTTCATTCCGTGTTCATTCTTTTAAATATTGAAAGCTACAATATTTTAAGTAATGAAACCTTCTGGAAATTGAAAACAGTAATCTAAAACAATTTAATTTTGTTATTTTATAGGAAGTCGAATGTCGTAGACGAAAAACATTTTTTTTTTCATTCATCCATCCATGACCACGATAACTGTAACAAAACAATATTCTTAAATGTATTTTATTTATAGTATTTACGTAGTTATAACAGTTCCCTAATTATTATAATAAATCCCTAGTTAGGGAATGATGCAAAAAGCAGTCATTCTTGAAACGGCGCATATGGTGGGGAATGTCTACCAGTGGTCTACGACACCAACCACCAACGACTCTATATTCTTTGTATGGTATTTTTGAAAAATATTTTTAATCGATCTTAATTTAGTAAATATATTGATGGAATCTCTGACGGGAATGCGTGGACCGAGGTTGTGTGAACTGTTTTATTTTGTTAATTTAAATTTTCTGCAGATAAACGTGAACGATAAAACTGTTTACCGTCTTTGAAAGGCCACAAATGTGGTAAAGACAAAGCAGCTAGACATGACTTCTTGGACTCTTCAGCTGCTTGGCTTTGCCCCTGGCATTGCAGACGTCCATAAGCGACGGTAACCACTCACCATCAGGGGGGCCGTGAGCTCGTCCTTCCATGTATTGGATTGGATGTTTTTTGTTTTTAATAATTTTTTTAAAAGATAATAAAAAATATCATCCAATTGAGTGCGGCGACGAGATCGTCTAGTTGTATCTATTTCAATTATACATATACGTAATTTTAAATTACAGATAGTATGGGACGATATAATAGGCGAGCCGGAAGGCGTACGTAGTCCGGAATGCGCTTGGCAACTCAGCCACGTGTGCTTCAGACAAGCCAGGAACTGCTGCTACACTTTGCTCGCTGTGCTGATTGCCCCTCCGTGTGCCCTGCTCCTCGGCTGTGGGTGCGCTTGCTTAGCATTTGAAGTAAGTACCCAAGTAAGGTGTAAGGCCTGATCTTCTCAGCGGGTCGCGATTCCGATCCGTAGTAGACTCATCCGCGAAGCAGCTGCTCTCGAGTTGTTAGGTCACCTTCGGAGGACCTCGGGAAGCTGTTAGCTAGTCCCTCCCCTCCTGGCTGAGCCTTTGCTCGCACATCAGCCCTAGTTAAACTGGAAAGGCCTCAGGGCAACCAGTAATCTTTCAATCATAAAAAATAAGGTGTAGGGGGAATCATAGGGGGTATTACGTTAGTAAAGAAAAATGACTACACCCTGTACATCACTAAATTAATTAACTAATGTGCAAGTAACTATGTACCACTTTCCAATTAACTGTTCTTTTCAATCATCTTATTTACTCCTTTTGTTTCCCACTTCCTTAGTTTACTCCTCCCTGGTATCCACTGTATTAAGGAGGGCGTGTTTTGAAATCGAGATTAGTATTACCATCTCGACATGCTGGAACCTTTCTACCCATACATTATTGATTGTAGGTCATCTTGTGAGACCCCACGTGTAGGCCCCACCGTCCTGCCTACTTCAACCGGGAAGCAGTAATGTGTTCTAGTCTGAAGGGTGGGGCAGACGTCATACTATACAATTGAGACTTAGAACTTATGTCTCAAAGTGGATGGCGGTATTCACGTTGTAATATCTATAGGCTCCAGTAACCACTTAACATCCGGCGGGCCGCTAACTCATGTGACCTTATGACAAACAAATAATACAATCACTGCTGGATCGTTTCCTATTTTTTAATAGGTACGCTTTTATTAGCATCATACGTATTTATTGGTAGTATGTAACGGCATCTTTGAACGTGATTTTGACCCCATTCAAAACGTCGGATTGACTCGAAAATTTCAGGGACCGATGACAATTCATATTTTTAACCAGTTATTTACTTTCGGCAGTGAAAACAACAAATTCATTTGAGCGCCTTTTTTTTTCACTTAGCAAATTGGAAACTGTTGTATTCGCCTGGATGTACAGCAATAAAGATTTTATAATAACTACTTAATGCTATTTAAAATAAAAAATAAATAATAGTTTAAAAAAAAGCGTGGAGTGCTTTTAAAAATATTATCAAAATGATAAACCTTCTACTCATATCTGTCGATAAAATATTTATAACTATTGACACCATGCACCCCACGCTTTTTTTACAATTTTTTTTATTAGTTGGATATTCTATAAAAGCCTATTTTTTGTTTTGGTTTTAATTATTATTTATTTGAAAATGCTTTACAGCAAATTTGGTGTACCGCTCCGTGCTTGCGCTCGCTGAAAATATACTGCGCGTCGTTACGCACTATGGTGCAGGCGTGCATGGCTGCGACAGTGCAGCCCGCAGCGGAAGCCGTCGGCCATGTTTGTCATCACGTCCGCGTCAACTTCCGCCGAGACGCAGCCGAAGATCGCGATTTACTGATCGTATAGTTACAACGAACAATTACAGACAATTAATTTTTATAAATATGGTCTTCTACTACCATATTCTACCATATTATGAAGTATGTAAAATATCAAACTTAGTACCTATTTGATTACAATCAAAATATATCTTAGATTTTTAAAAAACAAAAAAGGCTTATATTATTTATAATATGCAACTGATGCAACAAAGTTTCTTAGTTAACGCACCAGAAGTGCCTTCCTAGAAGAAAAGTATAATGTTAATCTTAGTATTATTGTAAAGCAGTTGTGGTATTTGTGATTTTGAAATGCGCTGATTAACCATACTAAATGATCTCATATGCTAATATGTAGCATCCTAATAAATCTTTGAATAAACTTATTATTATTGTATTGTTTTTCAACCTATTTATACCAATATAATGACATAAAACTACATTAAGCTTCTTGATTTTCTTGCCGTTTTTCTCTGTTGTGTAAGTACATTGCGTATGACGCGTGATGCATGACGATTCCAGACGATCAAGAATATCTACTCTTCGCATGTCGTAGACGTATGGCAATGTCAAGGCCTACCTGAATTAAAAACACTAAAATTATTAAAACTTTTTTAAGAAAAAAGAAAGAAAGCTTGTTTAATAATTCCTTTGCCGACTTTGCCATAAAATACATTTAGGAACATTCATCTGTTTTGGCGGGAAACTGAAATTTCATTTTAGTCTTGACAGAGACGTGATTAAAATCTCTGTTATTTATTTTTATTCTAACCCTAAAATGAACGTAGAAAGTATTTCATCATTTGCAGAAAACACAAGCTGTAATAGTGTATTGAACAAAAAAGATGAACATTTTATCATATCGACTTGTCGAAGGTTAGTAAATTCTAAATTTAGCTATGCACTCAAAGTATCAACTAATGAGTACTATTTAAAAGAAAATTATATGATTTTACTGACTGGAAACATAAATCAGCTAACAACCCAAAAGACGCGATCTTTTAGTTGAATTTTCAGTTACTGTATGAGGTATGCACGACATGTTTTGTGTAGACATTTTAATGTTTGGGATTGGTATAAATATCTGACATCACTAATTTCATGTTATCTTACAGAAATACTAATATGACGATGACTCCAAATAACAACGCTTTAAAGAATCCAGACGAGTCTACCGAAGATACTGATGCTGAAGAGGTAACAGTTTATTTAATTTCATCGTATTTAAAGTAGGTATTTAAAAAAAAAAAATTTAATCGTCAATAATGAAAAGAGAATCTTCCTGTTCACATCTATTATTCAATCAAATCTCTTATCAAATTCTCTGTGTGTATGATTTTTTAGACCTATCTGTTTGAGTACTGTACTGGATCTAGATTAGATTCTCCGTAGAAATCGGTATTATTGTTCAAAATGGCATCAAGCTCTCTGTGCTGTTATTTTTGTATATAAGTTTTGAATACTCATGATATGAGAGGAGATCTTAACTTGCGAGTGATTGAATGTAGGACATTTTAAATTTTTCTATACCAAAATCAAAGAAAAAAGTATTTAAAATTTGATGAAAACGTGATTGATTTTTAAAATCCTTTACGTCTGTTAAGTATTTATTGATATTTTTTATTGATTTTTTGGTTCTGTGGTAGTATAACATATTCTGGATTTAACTCTTTTAAAACTAATTTTTATTCGCTTAGAAATTGTTGGTGGTGTACTTTCGATCCGGAAAGATCGGAGCCGCTTACTACGTTCTTCAAACTGGAGAGGTATGCACCTTAGCCATAGAATGTATTAGCTAAATGTAGGTATTAAAAATATTTATGTCTAAAAATAGCGTGAAAACGAAGCTTGATTTGAACAGATCGAATGTAGCGGGGTGTACTTGCATATCGATGATACTACTCTCAGAACTCTCATCTAAGCAATAAGAGAAATAAAAAAAGCAAAATAACTTGTCATAAGAATTGGTGGTACGCGGTGGTACGTCTTGTGAGTCCGTTCGGGTAGGTACCACCACCCTGTCTATTTCTACCGTGAAGCAGTAATGCATTTCGGTTTGAAGGGCGGGGCAGCCGTTATACTGTAAACAATTGAGACGTTGGAGCTCATATTATCTCGAGGTGGGTGGCGGCAATAATGTTTTTTCGATATCTGGGAGCTCCGGTAACCACTTAACACCAGCGGACCCGTGAGCTCGTGCACCCATAATAGCAATAAATAAAAAAGTATCGTGGAAGCACTGCGGAAATACAAGTGTGTCAAAATCACTAAGCTTTGTTCCGTTTGTCTTGAACTTGTTAAACTCCTACTGTTAAATATTCACAAGATTCGTTCGAAGTATTATAGTCTTTTGACAGCTCAATGACATGTCCTTTTTACTAGTTATATTATTAGTTGCTGAAGCATTGAATAGGAAAATCCCTTTTATATTTAATAGCGACCCGCCCTCGCTTCGCTTCGGAAACATTAAAACACCCATGAAACCAAAAAAAAAAAAAACAAAGTAGCCTATGTTCATCAGGGACAATGTCGGCTTCTAATGGAAAAAGAATTGTTCAAATCGGTCCAGTAGTTTCGGAGCCTATTCGAAACAAACAAACAAACAAATCTTTCCTCTTTATAATATTATAGTATAGATTACGAAGTTCAAGTTTCTCAAGAGAAATACCCCTTCTGAATTACACAGTTAATGTTNAAAAAAAAAAAAAACAAAGTAGCCTATGTTCATCAGGGACAATGTCGGCTTCTAATGGAAAAAGAATTGTTCAAATCGGTCCAGTAGTTTCGGAGCCTATTCGAAACAAACAAACAAACAAATCTTTCCTCTTTATAATATTATAGTATAGATTACGAAGTTCAAGTTTCTCAAGAGAAATACCCCTTCTGAATTACACAGTTAATGTTTCATTTTCTAATCATAAACACTCCAAGTTATTGGGAGTCAATGGATTGTAACATAATGTACATTTTTACTGGTGGTAGGACCTCTTGTGAGTCCGTGCGGGTAGGTACCACCACCCTGCCTATTTCTGCCGTGAAGCAGTAATGCGTTTCGGTTTGAAGGGTGGGGTAGCCGTTGTAACTATACTTGAGACCTTAGTACTTATATCTCAAGGTGGGTGGCGCATTTACGTGATAGATGTCTATGGGCTCCAGTAACCACTTAACACCAGGTGGGCTGTGAGCTCGTCCACACATCTAAGCAATAAAAAAATAAAAAAATCATGATGTGACAGTCACACTATAAACGCTTATGCAAATTTGAATACGAATGTTGCATATATTTCCTTTCAAACAATTGCCAGCTCTTCATCTTGGAAGAAATTGTCGATCGTCCCCCGGAGTTCCAAATGTTCTGCAACTTATTCAGACAAGTTGAACCCTTCATGATATTGTTGGACGGCAAAAACCAAAGTTCCTTTGTGCAACTGGTCAAAACCATCGTCTTCAAAAACGATGCCAATGATTTGGGCAGATGTAAGCTGGTGTTTTTGTCTGCGAAGGAATATAGTAAGTTTAATAAAATATTATAATTAATGTGATATTAATTTTTTTTTGTTATATTGCCCGTGTAGGCAGACGAGCATACGGCCCAACTGATGGTGAGTGGTTACCGTCGCTCATGGACTTCAGCAATGCCAGGGGCAGAGCCAAGCCGCTGCCTACTGTTAAGTACTCTCCACAAGCCTCGTTTGAAGAAGGATATGTCATAGCGCCCGGGAAACACCGTGGAGAGGAGCTCATTCCATAGCCGGATGGTACGTGGCAAAAAAGACCTCTGGAAACGCACTGTGGATGAACGGAGTGGCTCCAAGTAGTATGGATGTACTCTACTCCGGTGGCGGGCTATACGATGGCAAAAACCTTAAAAAAAATTGTACAATAGTATTTGCGTAAAAGTGAAACACGTAATACTGGCTTGGGTTCTAAATGAACAGCGAGTTCTAGACTGCTCACGCGCCACTAGAAATACATTTAGCCTGAAGCAATAGAAATATGGCTATAAATATGTCTAAATTACGAAATAAGTCATAACTTAATTCACAATGGCGAAAATTAGCTGACGATGAAAATTAGTTGATTGACGCAAAGCTTACCATAAAATGTAATGTGGCATCCAAAATCATAGAATTAACATTCAAACCTTTACCAATTTCCGGAAAGAAATACTCGAGTTATAGTGATGCCACCACTGTCAGATGATCTGCCGAACTATCGTCTAATGTAACACATTTAAAAGGTATTTAATGTCTTATCGGTATGGCTGTATTAGTTTCTTCCGTTTGTCCAAGACTACGAAGCCTGCAAACGGCGTATCCTCAACCTGTCCCTCCCGCGCGAGCCCCCACACTGCACGGAGGAGGAACGCACCCTCTTCCTCCGGACCGTCGTAGACTTTAGTCAAACACAGACGGTTCACTCACTCGGTGCCTTACTACGGTATTTGGACCTACATTGGAGCTCTTTGAATGTGGGCTTACACAGCAAGCCGCAGTTTTTAAGTTTGCGTACAATCTCTTTGTAAGTTAATCTCGTTTGTATTTATTTATACTCATGAGAGCGCACAATGTTACATTTTAGCTGCGTCATGCTATACTTTAGTTAGAGATCGGCGTCCCAAGAGCACTTAATTATTTGGGGATTTAATGACGAAGGGAAGATCTTCCACCGAGCGGGTAATATTGCTCGGTAGACCGGCGGCTCAAATGTTATTGTTCGGAACTTGTACATAGGTATATCTTATATTATCTTGAAAATGTTCTCGACGCAAAAATTAAAAATCGACAAAGTCAAAGATGAAAAGAAGTGTTGTCGACCATTCCTTAGTATTAACCCTTTGATTGCTATGTAGGTCACTAGTGCGCTATGTGACGCATTAAAGTAATCATGTCGATTTCTGTTGTTACTAAGGCGTCCGCATATCTAGTAGACTCTCTGGAAAGACGAATCCGAACATACTGAGATTGAATCTAGTTTCAAGAGACCTAAAAGACTAAAATATACATTAAAAACAAAAGAGGGTAAAGTTCGGCAATCCATCCGCTTAGTAACCAAAATCGACATAATTACTTCAGTGCACCGCGTAGGGCACCGGTGACCTACCTACACGGCAGCCAATGTGTTAATAATATCATATTTCCACAATTAACCAAATGACGTCATATTAAAAGATTAAGTATCATATCTCCAAGCCTATTATTTTAAATACGAACACACTAGACGCGACATAGTAACGATCGACGACGACACGTACCGCGGCCTGCAGATCTTCAGTACCATCTCACATCCCAGCAATTTCAAGAGAGGCGTCCAGGGAAGCAACAGGGAAGGGCTTAGCTTGTTCCATCTGTTTAGTAGGTGCTGCTCGAAGGTGGGACAAAGCAAAATGAGGTCAGATATTTATCCTATTTAAGGTTAGGTTTAGGTTAGTGATAATGAAATATAGAACATAACTTCATAACTTGTTACGCTATTACAAAATCAACAGGTTAACCGGATATATACATCATCATTCTCCTGCCCTTCTCCCAGTCACCTGGGGTCGGTGCAATATGTTTTCTCCTTCCGAAGATATACATATATAAAGTTCTACCGTTGTACCTGCATCGCGCAAAGTCTTCTAGATAAATTCCCATACGTTTATTTTTTGTTTCTCCTCATAGACGCTTGATACTTAGTAAAATAAAAAATAAAGAACTATTCATTTCATATGCATAAAGTATAAAGTAATTATAGTAACAGAAGGCTATTGGCCTTAAACCAACCAAGCAACCAACCAACCAGACAACCAGACAACCAACGAGGTAGACCGACGATACGGTCAAAACGGCTGGTAGGGACTGGATGCGAAAGGCAAGAGACCGACAAGAGTGGGGTGCATTTGAAGAGACCTACACTCAGCCTTGGGTGGGCAAGGATTGAAGAAGAGAAGAGATAGTAACAGAAATCGTAACAATAACTTCAGTGCCTTCAGTCACGTAGGGCACCGGGGACCTACATGGCAGTCAAAAGGTTAAATCATAAAAGTGCGTTCGAACCAACCACGTTTACAACACCGATTTTTTTTTGTTGCGAAGGAAATAAGTCAAGTTAGCTTGACTAGGCTAGAGAGAGTTCGCTGATCATCAATTGTCAAACTGTTTTCTTTCGACAATCTCTAGGGTCCTGATGCAGCATCCGAGCAGGGATATAGCGGAGTTGCGCCGCCGCCAAGAAGTCGTGGCCTACTTCTTACGATCACAGAATGATCCTTTAATGAGGAATATCTGTTCTGCGCTAAGGTTCATTAGGAATGTTAATGTTAGTCCTTTTTTTATCGCAAAGTTTATTTGACGTGAAAAAATCTCAGGATAAATTAGAATACTGTCGTGATATATATATAAACATCTTGATTGTAGACACGAATATATATGGTCTTGACTTTTAAAACTAATTGATCCATGTATTACTGATAATTAACTATCTTTGCGGCCATTTTATGGATACGATTTCTTTTATGGGATATCATCTATCCACGAATTTTTGACTACTGTTATTAATTTGACGTGGAGATACTTCAATCAAGGTTTATTCATATACTGTTTAGCAATATCGTTTTATAATTGGCTTTACAAAGTCTACATATTTCAGGGTATTTTAGCCAAAGTTAAGGCACTGTCGGCAAAACCGTATCAATGGAAATCTTTGTACAACGTAAGCATAAACATATACAGCAACTATGTACCTTCAATATTTGTTTTTAAAACTCTAAGTCTGAATAACACGTCATCAGACCCTGTACAACGCGGTGCTGATATGCGAGATGTGTGAGAACGCCGGAAAATCCAGTTCTTTTTTAGAGCAGCTTGCCTCATGCGATAACAAAAAACTTTATGAGGTCAGAATTTAAATATTATTTAAATAGTCAATAACCTGTTATTGTTGTTGTATACCATACGAGTATATGTGTGGAGGAGCTCACGGCTAAAGATCCTATGGAGACAGCCCACTGAGTTTCTCGCCGGATCTTCTCAGTGGGTTGCGATTCCGATCCGGTGGTAGATTCTGCGAAGCACTGCTAGGGCTAGGGCTGGCTAGCAAATTCTCTCAGGTTGAGCCCATGAGCTCACCTACCCGTCCGCGTGAAGTTAGAATAGCCTCTTAGGCAAGGACACCAATGTCAGTACCGTCAACAACATATAAGACAAATGGTCGAAATCTAACCTATATGACTTTATAATTTATTAAAATAAAATTTATCAAGGTAGGTACATTTTTGAATTAGTAATGAAAATGATATAATAGTATAATGAAATCAATTGGATATTTTTGTATTTATACCAGATGGCCCTATACATGAATCGCATTATAGACTTTGATCAGTCTAAAACTGAAGGAAAATTCACTGTAAAATCCGGCGTGGATCCTGAATTAGATCGAAGTAAGTATTATGAGTTTTTACATAGGTATCTAATCCCTCAAGATTCTCTATTTATCTCTATGTAACTGTTGTTATAGAACCAATGATGCCATGTTTAAAAATAAAACTTAAATTAGTACCTGCAAGATTTCACAATAATTTCCTTTCAATGACATTCAATCACAATTAGTTTTTTTTTATACCTTATTAAGTATATCTAGTTTCATGTTAAGTCACTTACACATATAATATAAAGTTGTCTTGAATAATTTGAAAACAATCAGAAAAGCGAACAATGGCCAGTCTCCACGGGCTCATGTCGGAAACTGCTAAAGTGGAGTTGGAAAGACTGCCCTCTTTTATAGAAGAATGCAGCATGCTTTACATGCCGCACTTAGGGTACTTACTCGCCGTGAAAGCTTGGGATGGTATGGGGGCGAGGGAAGAGCTACCCGGCCTGAAGTTTATGGTGAGGCTCTATACATATTTCTTCAATGATGAAATTATTTGGTACTAGGTACTACTCGAGTGAATCCACAGACGTAATTGTAAATGCCTAATATAATTGAAGCCATGAGCGGATGAAGGGGATATGATACAATTTGTTAATTTTGAGGAAACGGGCAACAAACTTTTGCCACCTGTATTTTTTCTTCGTACACAACCCTTAACATGCAATTTCTAAAAATATCCTTTAAACCTCGAGTCTTAAGGTCCAATATGGTTTATAGGCACATAATATCGTCATTCAATGTAAAAACTCGATAATTTTAAAAATGGTACTTAACCCCTTCATCCACTCATGTCTTCAATTATGCTCTATAAAAATACCCTAAGTTCTCTCCTGTATAAAGTTCACTTATCTGTCTCTGATTCTCAAACTTATGAAACTGTGACTAGATTTATTGGTAATATTTAATTTTTACGGCAATAATGATATTTCTTACAAATAATCTAGTCTGTGATCGCATTTTCCTCTCGCTGTAGTACGTGTACGTTGTCTACATAGAGTATTACTACAGTTTGGTGTGCTTAGTGTGAGTTTTTTAACGTTCTCGACAGCGTAAAAGTTAATTCAAATTTGTACTCAGTTGGAACAGCGCCCTTAGCGGCAAACGCAGGCAAACGTCCCAACTACATACAATTTTGAGTTAGTTGTTACGCTACCGAGAACGTTAAAAAAACTCGCACTAAACACACTGCTTACTCTTGCAACAAAACAATCCCGCATCTTCGTTTGAAATGATACTTTGGCTTCACAATTAGACATCTGGGCCACCACTTCACATGTGCTTACAAACTTCTAGTGATCGCCGAAATCGAGGAAGACGAGAGATCAACTTAATGTCTCTTACTATTAATGCGATACTGTGAGAATCGGTAAACGTTTGTTACTTAATCACGCAAAAACTACCTTGTACTGTAAAAACTGAGAGTTAGAACTCATGTCTCAATGGCAATGTAGATCTCATGTGGCGGCATTTACATTGTCGATGTCTATGGGCTCCGGTAACCACCTAACACCAGCTGAGCCGTGAGCTAGCCCAGCCATCTAAACAAAAAAAAATACAAACAGAATTTGATGAAATAATCGCATAAAGATATCTTAAAGTAAATATGACAGTTCTGGTCCGTGAGTTTTCGTACCGATAAATCTACTCATCGGCTGGTAGTTGTTGACCCAGCGGGCGACACAATCCCGGGACAACACAGCGAATGCTAACCTTTCTAAATTACCGATAGAACGCGGCTGAAACCACCGGGCACGTCTAGTTTTTAAATGGAATAATCTAAATAGTGTTGTAATGTTTACTGCATAGTTAGGTACGTTGCTTTCAGTTTCAGAACAACGAGTTCGTTCACTACAAAAGTAAGGGTTGCGAAAGTATGTATGTATGTAGTATCTGTAACATTTAATTTCTTGTTTTAAATTTTTTTTTTTCATAAGTAATTAACTTAACAGAACTAGACGTGATGATCGGCGACACGTACCCCGAGATAGTAGCTCATGAGACCCGCATCATGATGAGGCTGACTGCAGTACTGCTTGAGCACCTCCACACCCTGGCTAGCGTTATCGATAACTGTGCAATGCTAGATTGGTAAGTTTATCGATACTTAATGTGTCACTTTTAATCATTTACAAAGATATTTCTGATACAAGGGCTTCTTTTTTATAACATAGATGTTTTTGCCCGGTGTTACCGGTGTTATCGGAGCCCATATATATCACAACGTGCATGACGCCACTCACCTTTGTAGGTGTTTCTACTATATTTATGTATATTAGTTCATATTATTTATTAATTTACATTGTACACCTACGCAATATTTAATATTATATCATATTTAATTACGTATTCTATAACACACTCTCATACAGTACATAAATACGCTAAACAATCATACATTCACAACACTACTCAAAATTATATTATTTACACAAGCATAGTCGGGCGCAACCGCTAGTATGCGGCAAAGACCCCGACTATGTATAACTACGTACGTACTGGTCGTCGCCTGCGCCACGACTCGGCCGCCGCTCGCTGCCAGACGCCAGTCGGGTTTGATCAACGCTACGCTAAGACTGTGTCACTCCTCGACTTACGCGTACTCTGTTGCTTTGTTACGATTTATTGCTTTCGTCTATTTTGTATTCTTGTGTTTGAACTTACTACCGCTTTATCTGTGCCTTCTGTACTCCGTAATTTCTCCTTCTAAATATTGTTATACCGTCTATGATTGGAAATAAACTGTCCATCCAATTACGGACTCGTTATTGTGCCGCCCGGCACTGGTGACCTTACAACCACCACCACCAACAACGACAACTAAAACCTTGACACATGAGGTGGAAATCGAACTGTCAGACTCTTTCAGAGGCACTGGGGTAGCTGTTAGCAAATCCCATTCTTCCTGGCGGAACTAGAAAAGCCTTTGTGTGTTCAATAACCTCCTCCATCCTATAAAATAAAAACCTTAATTTTCTGAACCATAGAGAGGACGTATCCATTCTGAAAATGAATGAATATTGGGAAATTATGTTTTTGTACAAGTCGAAAAATACGTCCCAAAATCATAATAACAGCACTACATTTTATATAAATAAGCCGTAGTTTATTTTTAAACGCTATCTTCCTCGTAAATTTTAGAAAATCAATATAAAGTTCCACTGAATTGTCCCAGTCTCATAGCAATATCGAAAACTAGTAAAGAGTTCGGCTACACCCAGCCCACTCTAGTCGAGACTAAGTCGATCAGTATCAAGCAAGGCAAGCATCCCTTGCACATGACCACGTGCGAGGCTTTTGTGCCCAACGACTTCGAGAGCAACGAACAAGTTGGCTGCGTTAAAATCCTAACCGGCCCTAACTCTAGTGGAAAATCTGTTTATATGAAGCAGATAGGTAAGTGACGCCTTCAGCTCTAACACTAGGAGTAGGCTTAGGGACCCTGGTAACCGTACTCGTCGAACTCGACAAAGAGGTCGACGTGCAACCTAACCCATGCATCAGCCCGCTAAGTGTCTCACCGGATCTTCTCAGCGGGTCGCGATTCTGATCCGGTAGTAGATTCATTCGCGAAGCAGCTGCTCTTGAGTTGTTAGGTCTCCTTCGGAGGCGCTTGGACAGCTGTTAGCAAATCCTACTCCTCCTGACTGAGCCTTTGCTCGCCCACCTGTCCTGGTGAAACTGGAAAGGCCTCCGGGCCACCAGTAACCCTTCAATCCTCAAAAAAAGGGATGTTCATGCGGGTGCTTAGTTTTGGCTAAAGTCACCGTCGTTGTCTGCCGCGAAATTAGATCTCTCTTAGGTTTATATTTAGTCTCTTATCTTGAAGAGCGTTACTTCAACACAATCATCTCTTAAAATAGGTGGACAGTTAAACTGTATTTCGTTCGATGCTAAGATTATTTCATCAAGCAAAAGACATCACATGCATCTATTATCATCTCACCTACAGAAGTCCACAGCTGGCCTTAGGCGTCCTCAATGATCGATTCTGCGCTGCACGCATTCATTAAATTATCGGTCCACATGATTGGTCATATTCTACGTGCAATGTGCTCTGTTCTGCCATTGCCAATTCAACATCTGCTTTATCGGCGGTTATCTTGGTTTTCCTGTGTATCTCTTCATTCCTAAACCGATCACGTAAGGAAACTCCGTGTGCCTTTTCTATTGCACTTTGGGTGACTTGGTGACTTCTGATAATACATGCGATTATAGAAATAGCTTAACTTCACTCCAAGCCAGATGTCCCCACTGACCTGTGGCAGATGTGACTCTTAGAAGTAAACATACTTAAATAATTGTCATAATAAATATGTCGCTTACATTCCACCACACGGGCAGTTCACAGTATCAAAAGTTTGATAGGGTGAAGATACGAAATTACTAAAATCTAAAATACTAATTGCATTCCTCAGGCAATCAGCCAATTGATCAGGAGCATAGTTGTTAAAACATTATTAATATCTCCAGGTCTGATAGTGTATTTAGCTCACATCGGCAGCTTCGTGCCGGCTGACTCGGCTGTCATAGGCATCGTGAGTCACATATTCACAAGGATGCAGTCAACTGAATGCATCGCAGCGCACATGTCTGCTTTCCTAATAGATTTGAGACAGGTGATTACTAGCATTGTTAGTAGTATTGTACTTGTAATATTAGTAGTATTGTACTAGTATTAGATTACTTAGAATTGAATACGTACATAATTCTAATGGTTAAAGATCAGCCAATATATACAAATATTGACATCGAAAAAGTTGCAGAGAACTTTCTAGAATATTTTTTCTTTGTTACATATGTAACTAAAGACGTAGATAAGTTATTTGCAATTTTGCTTGTATGCAATGGTTGAAGACGTCAGCCTCCAAGTGACGAAAATAGCACATACGTGTACTGTCATTGATTGTCTAAACGTTTAAATATAATTATTTAGTGCTTTCACTTATAACTCAGTGATATCTATCTGATGTCAAGTGATATCTGGAATAGGAGTGGGTGATATAAATCGTATATAGATTCAATATCTATATATCGCAGCAATATCGTTGAATCCGATATCGCCCCGCACGAAATCTATATCAGCCGATACACGATATTGCTCGATGTGATGTGCATCGCCATATCGTACCGATTCGTGAATCGAAATCTATATTTCGATATCAGCCGATACACGATATTGCTCGATGTGATGCGCATCGGCATATCGTACCGATTCGTTAATATCAGCAATATTCGTTTGGTTCGTATCGAATCGGCCAGAGTGAGTGAGCGCACGATAGGGATATCATGTGATGAATGAAACAGAAACAGGCATTATCCATACAATTGTAAACCTTATATTTAAGTCCATATGTCTGTAGATTATTCTTAGCGTATCAGCAGGATACAATTAAGGAAAGAAGTTTCAACTTTCGACCCTAACTTGAATGCAGTATAGCCTATTTGCATCGTTGAATTTAATTTCACGCGCTTTGACCTTGAACTAGAATTNCCGCGCACAGAACAAAAGAGTTTTTAGAGCAAGAAAACATAGAATTATTAGACCATCCGCCGTACAGCCCCGACCTAAGCCCTAATGATTTCTATACTTTCCCTAAAATAAAGAATAAATTGCGTGGACAGAGATTTTCATCACCTGAAGAAGCTGTGGACGCCTACAAAACGGCCATTTTGGAGACTCCAACTTCCGAATGGAATGGTTGCTTCAATGATTGGTTCCATCGTATGGAAAAATGTGTCAAATTTCGCGGAGAATACTTCGACAAGCAATAAATACATTTTTAAATAGTAATGTTGTGTCACTTCGTTAATTCCCGAAATTTTCAGTGCCGCCTATGTGGATAAGTTAATTTGCAATTTTGCTTGTATGCAATGGTTGAAGACGTCAGCCTCCAAGTGAAGAAAATAGAACATACTTGTACTGTCATTGATTGTCTAAACGTTTAAATATAATTATTTAGTGCTTTCACTTATAACTCAGTGATATCTATCTGATGTCAAGTGATATCTGGAAACCATTGACATCACAATGTTAATGCCGCTATTGAACTAGATACATGAGCTTTAAGTCTAAATTGTATAGTTTAAAGGCTGTTTCAAACTTAAAATGGAAAAGCTTTGTGGCAGAAATAGATCGGATGTCGGTTTTTTCCTTTTTTTTATTATAGCTTAGATGGGTGGACGAGCTCACAGCCCACCTGGTGTAAGTGTTTACTGGAGCCCATAGACATCCACAACGTAAATACGCCATCCACCTTGAGATATAAGTTCTAAGGTCTCAGTATAGTTACAACGGCTGCAACGCCCTTCAAACCGAAACGCATCACTGCTTCACGGCAGAAATAGGCAGAGTGGTGGTACCTACCCGCGCGGACTCACAAGTGGTCCTACCACCAGTAAATAGATCGGGTGCCGGTATCAAAACACAGGCACCGAAAGTTAGGAGCATTTCAGATGGCTCTGGTTCTACAAGAGTCGACGAGTAGCAGCCTGGTGCTGGTGGACGAGTTCGGCAAAGGCACGGCGCGGCGCGACGGGGCGGCGCTGCTGGCGGCCGCGCTGGGCGCAGTGCTGGCCCGCGCGCGCCGCCCGCACGTGCTGCTCGCCACGCACTTCCTGCAGCTGCACCACTACATCGCTCCCTCGCCACTACTCACGTTCTTGGTAATATTGACAACGCCATTCTTATAGAACATTTTAGATTATATTCTATTTTAATAACCTAACAACCAAGTTCACAGTTCAGGCTATGTAAAGCGGTACCACGACCTTTTTTTTGGTCACGAGGAAATCACCGGACTTCCGCATTCCACTAGAGATGAAGGGCGGGGTATGTCAGAGACAAACTGACTAAAACCTCTAGTCGCTCAACAACCCACGTCCGAACCTCGCAAGAGTCAGAACTCATGAAAAGGCAGACCAGTGGTCGTCGACCACTAGCCCTCTCGGTCGGTAGGCTATCCGAAGCCCGTCTAGATGGGGGTTTGCTAGAATTTGCTAAAATGAGAATACCCCGCTAGGTCAGAACCAGCGTGGGTCGATTATAGCCGGCCTTTCATGACCCAGATGCTGTTGCGGAAAACGCGTGCAGAGCAGTTTGCACGTCATCTTCTTAGGTCACCTTCGCCGATCCTCAGACCGCCATGTGATAGGACTCGAAACACTTAGAGGGCCAGGGTTTGGGCCAGCTTCGCCTCCTTGGCCCCCGCTCGACGGTAGCGGGATTATGCATCTTTCAAGCGCCCCGCCGCCACCTTCTGCGAGATGATGCACTCGCAGAAGTCGAGCATCGCCTTCCGTGAATCGTCGCCGCCGAACATTAGTGCTCGGCAACGACAAGTCGTTTCCTATTTTTGCGGCGAGGTTACGGCGTCACCCCTCCCATGCGGGGCAGACGATGAGCGTGGGCTCCGCCTCGTCCAAGTCGCAACCACAATGGTGGCACTCTGCCATCGGCTCGGCTCCGATCCGGTGCAGGAACTCACCGAAGCAACCATGCCCAGTGAGCACCTGCGTAAGCCGGAAAGGGAGGCGTTTCGACGATTCACCCAATTTACAAGGACCAGGCGAATCGCCTCGACGGTCCTACGACCAGCCGAAGGATCGGCCAGCCGCCTGAACCAGGACCCCAGCACGGACCGCCGAAATTGGGCCCTCCGTGAACTGACCACACTGGGGTTGGGGTTCGTCACCACATGTCTGTCAATGTCTACTTAAGACTGAGACTTCAATTCGTTTGGAATAGGAACAAGTGTCGTAGGTACCCCTCTAAGACAAGTGATACTTTACGGTAGAAATTGTAGTATATTGTATATTTGAAATATTGAAGGTAAATGTGAAACCGCAGATAAATACGTTTGTTGCGTCAGACATTCGATCACGTAATGCGCGACGGCTCCCCCGTGTTCTTGTACCGCGCGCGGACGGGCGTCGCCGGCGCCGGGCTGGCGCGCCACGCCGCCGCCGGACTGGGCGGCCCCGCGCTGCGCCGCGCCGACCTACTGGCGCGCTGTCTGCAGGTCATCCACTGCACCATACATTATACACTTAATATATGAGACACTGCACCCTCAGACGGCTCCTGATAAATACTATAGACAAATTCATAAACATCTCCTGTACTTTGAAATCGATGTATTTCGCTTAACGAAAAAATACATATGATTAAACTTTTCAAAATCTTAAAAAAATGCAAATCATGCCAAATAAAGTATTTTCGTGTACTTTATTGTTCACATAAAGTATAGAGTACAATTACCTGAAATAACGTACAATAATTTATTATAAAGTACGGGTGGCAACCCTATTATATATAGTTAACATTTCAAACCCTACACACAATTTTTCAAACCCTTTCCCCGCTGTATAATCTCAAATGATATTGTGATTCTATCTTCAGTTTACGAAACCTAAAAATATGCATTGGCAATAAAAACATCTATTAAGGCGGTAGCTATCTTTGATACAAAACTTGGACTACTACCAAAACCAAAGAGTGGCGAATCATTCCATCAATATTTCTGCTAATTTTGTAAAATTTTAATTTAATTAAATCGTTTGTAATTCTCTATTCAATATGACAATCCAGAATTGAGGTGACATTTATCATGTACCTCAGGTGTGCATTTTTTGATGTTTTGAAACGGTGATCAGTCGGTTGGTTAAATTAAAAATAGATAATAGTTTAAAATAACTAACAATAAAATAAAAGCGTATTACGATCATTACGATAATATTAGCGTAAACGATCAGTCGGAGTTGTTCTGTTGCAGAACAACGATCTACCGCCGGCTAATGAACAGATAACGTCCAAGCTGAGGAGTCGCGTGGAAATTGTCAAAAAACTTATATTAAAGGACATTATTTAATTACACATAATATACATCATATTTTCTCTATTTCACATTTTGATATTTTTAATCTTAGCTAAATTAACAATAATATAAAATGTAAATTGATATTTCAGTTTAGTATTTTTAAAGATTAAATACACCAAATTCAATTTATAAAAACACAGGACATCAATTTTATTGATTTATTGTTTTCGTTTATAAGCACTAGAAGATCGTATCCAAATGGCTGAAATAATAAAATAACGATTGGAAAAAAGAAACAAATATTGCCTTTTTATATACTTATTAACATTCAATACTTTGATATAATAATTATTATATTGTTTTTACTTTATATAATTTAAGCGTACACAATTCACAAGCCGGAATGTTTAGTTTCACGCGCATCCGCTGTCACGAAATAAAATGGCATTTTGTGACCAATTACACTAACGCCAAGCTGCATGAGGACCTCATACTACTTCTTTCTACATATATTTATATCTCTAATAATTTCTTTAATTGAATAAGTTTACTATCTCAAAAATGAAATTAATTAAAATTAATATTAAACTTAATGAAATAATTCAATAAAAATAATGATATACGTTGCTTATAACCGTCAAGTGTATCAAGCACCCATTACTGATGACAAAAAGTTTAAGGCAAGACTAATCTACACCATAGACCGATGTTTACAGAGAATCGTGTACTTACAGAATATAAAAAGAAAAGCTTGGCGTCTATCTAGTAACTTATTCAATTACATAGCACAACCACATTCAGAAACTGTTACAAAAAATTACTCTTTCATTAAAAAAGCATACAAAAACTTACAATTATGTAAATTACATTTAGCAAGCGCATTACATAACAATATGTACAAAAGTATATAAAGTATTTTAATCACAACGAAGGAAATAAAAAATATATTTTAAGTGTGGGACTTACACACATCTTAAGTAAACTTAGAAACGAGAATATAAAAATAAAATAAAAAAGCACCGTCGTTATATCGAAGAACTTCCGACGCGATACGACAAAACACATCAATATTTATACAAACAATTTTATAACAATCAAATTTGTGCTCTAATGTAGTTCGTTTAATATTATTTTTGTCGTAATTGGAATTTAACATTTGTAACATTACACGAGGCAGCGCGCCGCCAGCAAACATCGGCATCGCTCGCGACGCTGAGGCGGCTCGGAGGCGGCAATCCTACCTACTACAGGCGAAGCTAAATAAACACATTTTGGCGAATTCTACTTTTAGATATTGAAATTCACATACGTAGTTTTCAAATTTTTTAAATTTCACGTAATCTTTTCACAGACTGTATACTCAGTAGACAAATAGTTTTGAATTTAATGAAATTTATTATTTCACTACATTATATTGGGCCTATGTCAGCCGCGAATTTATATACAATTAATTCGTCCATAACTAAGAAGGTAGTAAAGTTATTCAGGATGGTGGAATCCGTAAAATTACATGAAACTAAGTTTATATTTTATTGTTAGAGGTTTGAATACGTGCGATATTGCATAAAAAGAAGCGAAGCCAGAGCAACGATAGCAAAACAAGTGAGATTTAACCCAGATCTAGGTCAGCAACAAAGGGTGTTGTTTTTATATAAATATTTTTTTATTAATTTGGCATCATTAAATATATTTTTATTTGAAAACCACTTGCAGTCTCCGGCATAGCGTTTATAAAAACACACCTCTATATGATATCAATCTACGTATACAGAAGACAACATTTAAATACTTAATACAATAGGATATGCCATTTTAATATAGTGTTGCTCCAACATTGAACTTTATGGGTATATTTGTAATAATTATCGAATAAAAATTTCTTTTAACATAATTGCATTAAATATTCAAATTAGGTATTTATAAGTTATATTTAAAATATACACACAATTTATATATGTGGTATATTGAAATGTTTATTACTGTTCTGTATCAGTTTATATTCGGAATAGCGCGTCAATCTGTTTATTTATCAATACATTGTCAATCGTGACCTCACATGGTACAACTCACAAACTTGAAAATTTCAAGTTTTTATTTGAAGTTCTTTGAATATTGACACAATCACACATTGACCACTACAGAACTTGTTACGAGGCTGGTGGAATGTTTCATTAATGAATAAACACAACTGTACGTGTGATATAGATTCTCTCACTCGTCGGGTCTAGCGGTTTACTAACAGCAATAGTGACGTAGCAATGATGACGTTACGCGCTCTACGATATGTCGGTACTCAAATAATTCACGTTCCGGGTCGATGTTGGAGCAACAGTTCGCGGTGGTCGGTCGAGTAGTCTACATCGTCTTCATCTGCTGCATGAGGTCCTCCAGCGACAGCTCCGAGGCGGCCACGGCGCCGCCCGTGCTGGACTCCGGGGTGCTGCTGTCCACCGGGATACTGTACGCCACCTGGATATATAAATACCAGAGGTTCCAGATAATGTGGCCAATAATTAGGTAAGCTACAGGACAAAATTAAGGAAAGCATACTAAAAATTTTATAATAAAATATTAATAGTTTATAAAATTTTTTTTTTTTATTGCTTAGATGGATGGACGAGCTCACAGCCCACCTGGCGTTAAGTGGTTACTGGAGCCCATAGACATCTACAACGTAAATGCGCCACACATCTTGAGATATAAGTTCTAAGGTCTCAGTATAGTTACAACGGCTACCCCATCCTTTGAACTGAAACGCATTTCTTACGATAATAGCTTGTTGTTTGAAGAAATATTAACTTAATTCGGAAAATCTTAAAAAGAATCGTTTTGACTCTGTACAGTAGGCAGTACAGTAAGCGGTAGGCAGCGGCTTAGCTCTGCCCCTGGCATTGCTGAAGTACATGGGTAACGGTAACCACTCGCCATCAGGGGGGCCGTGCGCTCGTCTGCCTACAAGGGTAATAAAAAAAAGTAAGGCGCCTACTGTGGTATTCATTAGGGGAAAATTAAAATTCGAATGCAAAATTATGAGGTGACAGTTTCATTAACTTTATAATTGGACACGTTAACGTAGACACAAAGCAGGTGACCGACCTGGACTCCGTCCACGAGCTTCAACCCCGGGCAGTCCTCGTCCGCGGGACTGTTCTCCTCCAGCACGCTTATCCCTGGAACGAAACACAATATTCTACTCTACTAATTCCTGACCGCCTATCCGTGTGCAGTCACCGTCCCGCGTGTTCCTGCCGCACGTCCCACACGGAGGGCGGTCGTTATGGCCGATTTACACAGGGTCAGTAGCTGTCGCCAGTGCTGGCACTGAAAGCTGACTCATATGATTTACACGCAGTCAGTTGGGCGCTGGGGGAAGCGGACTGACGCCGAAAAATATGAAGCGGGGATATTCAGTCAGTACTGAATTGAAATCAGCCTACACGATGGCAGTGCTAGGTCAGCACTGACTCGGCAGTGTACTGACGTTAGTTACTGACTCAATGTTAATCTGCCTTGAGCAGAGTGGTGGCTGCACGTACCCCAGTCGTTGTCCTGGTGCACTGGTCCGCAGTCCTCGGTGACCTCGGCGGCGAGCTCCACGCGCGGCTGCAGGCGGCGCTGCTCCTGGCGCGCGCGGCACGACGCGTCGTCGCACGTGGGGTTGGGCTGCAACGTGTCACCATATTGGAGGTGTCAAGTCGGATGTCCAGGGCTGCATTTTTTTTAACAGACTTCAAAACATAACTGGTAAATTACTGGTGGTAGGACCTCTTGTGAGTCCGCGCGGGTAGGTACCACCGCCCTGCTTATTTTTGCCATAAAGCAGTAATGCGTTTCGGTTTGAAGGGTGGAGCAGCCATTGTATCTATACTGAGACCTTAGAACTTACATTTAAAGGTGTGTGGCGCATTTATGTTGTAGATGTCTATAAGCCCCAGTAACCACTTAACACCAGATAGACAGTGGACTCGTCCACCCAAAAAAAAAGTTATCATTTGAAACGATATTTCCTACTATTATATTGTACTTCTAAACGACCATTTTCAGGATAACATTAATTTTTATTATTAGTTTATGATAACGGCAAACAAGTTGACAAAATAAACTAAAAATATTTTTTTGTAACAAAACCTACATTTTTCCTTCTTTTTACCGGGATGTGCCATAGCAATAAATCACAGGTGAGGTGATTGGAGCATTACCTTCAAACTCATCGTGGGGAAGAAATCGGTGAGCGCGCTGTATCCCAGGTAGTGGGTGACATTACCGAACTCCAACAGATACTTCAGAGTGTTTTGTACTGAAAAATAATACTTTATCATGTAGAATAAGCCGCTCTGAGCTCATTCAGTATCTATGCGACGGAATCTTTCAGCGCAATTGACTAATTTCAATACGTCCCATTAACTTGAAAATTAGCGCACGTGTCATGTCATCAGACACCATATTTATTTTTAAAGCAAATTTATAAAAAAGTGGTACGCGTGCAACTTGGTACACATGAAAGAAGTGAAACTTCTTTTGCGGTGTGCATTATTGTAGTTATCTTCATTTTTCATCCCTAAATCAAATTTCTCTTGTAATAGAGAACGCTGCTTATAAAATAAAAACGACCTAGCTCGCTTTGTCCGTTCCCTGTCTCCACGGTCTAGTGGTTCGCGAGACGCTCTATCTATTTTCTCACTCTCGCTCGTCTTAAATTGTATCTTCTCTCTCTAACCGTAACGAATCTGTCGTGAGTTACATTTTACTCTCAACGCGCCTAAAGAAGTTTCACTTCAAAAATCAAAGCTTCTTCGATCGCCGTCTGCAGATAACATAGCTTCGTTTACCAAGGAATCCCGCAACGATTCCCATGGTGGTCGGTAGACTGGCCGCACACACTCCCTCCCGCTTCAGCGTGCGTTCGTCTACCTTAGTGGCCACCACCAGCGGGGGGGCGCACTGAAAATGTGAAAAATGCATTTCGTTATTATTATTTTTTATAGCTTAGATGGGTGGACGAGCTCACAGCTCACTTGGTGTTAAGTGGTTACTAGAGCCCATAGACATCTACAACGTAAATGCGCCACCCACCTTGAGATATAAGTTCTAAGATCTCAGTATAGTTACTATTTTATTCCTTATACCATCAACGTTATAAACATTGTGATTCAAAGGCCATTAAGTGTTTCGTGTTGTAATAAAGCAATTAATACTTTATTATACAAAATGATCCCTTAATCATCATAATTATTTTATTAATTGCACTACAGAATCAATTAATAAATGAGACATAATTAACAAGAATGACTCACGGCGAAACAAGCCGACTCCCCAGGTGAAATGAATTGTATGTGTCCAGAGACAGCATTCTCACTAACACCAGACTCAAACCACTTCTGATCGAGTTCATTGCAAGCTGTGTTGATGGCCATGCGAGCTTCGAAGTTGTCCACGCAGCTAAGGACTAGGTCAATGGGGCCACCGGTTAAACTACCCTTACTGTAAACAAACAGACGACAATAACAACTTTTTTTTTTGCTTATTTGGGTGTGCGATCTCACGATCTACCTGGTGTTTAGTAGCTACCAGAGCCCATAGACATCTACAACGTAAATGCCGCCACCCACCTTGAGATATAAATTCTAAGGACTCCTTTTTTATAGTATTATAATAGTAATATATAAACATTATTTATATGTTTTGTTAGTGAAATAACAACACTATAAACAACATTACTATAACTCATTTTCTTATTTTATGAATTGTCTCATAAGTTAAGTTAATAATGATTGTCTCACTGTCAAAATTTTGGAACTTGAAAAAGATTATTTCACACACACTAGAAACAATTTTTTCATAAAATATGAGTTACAAATATAGGAATTTGATATTATGCTCAAAGTCATTTAATCTAATGAACCACATGTAATATTCAAACTTTTAACAATCTAGCTAATTGAATACCTAATTGTATCGCAGAACTTTTGAAAGTTATCAACAGTTGTGATATTATAGTTGTAAGCATCAATGGTGACATCAGGGTTAATGTTCTGTAATGTGGCAGCAGCTGCATCCACCTTGCTGAGCCCTGCTTGGTGAGGCTGGAAGAACAGCCGGTTCATGTTGGCAAGTTCCACTTTGTCGTAGTCAAAGAGGATAAGCTGCAAATAGAGAAACTTATGATGCATCTCCAGAAACCAGTAAATAATAATGAAAAACAACACACATCTACTAAACTAAGCATACTTTATATTTTGTATGTTTGTACTTTGTGAACTGTCACTCTGTATCAGGAATCCGGTGGACACTCAAACCAGTATCAGATGAAATCATGGATCTTATATGATACTATGGTACACAGTTACAGTGGCGTAGCGTGGTGGCGGGGACAGCCCGCCCCGGGCTGCACTTTTTAAGGGGCTGCAAAATTTTACAATAAATAATAAAAATATTTGAACCATTTCATATTTTTATCGCAACTACAAATTTGACCCATTGAAGTGGCAACATCGTCTGTGTGTGTGTGTGCAAACTTTTTTTATTTAAAATCTTATCTGTAGATATAATGATGACTGCTCTTGCCAAAAAAATTCTAGAATGAATGTATAGTATATATCAAAGTGAAATACCCAATTAAAAGGGCGGCAAAATTGTCTTACACCCCGCGCGGCTGACACCCACGCTACACCACTGCACAGCTATACTACAAGGTGCAAATAGTATGAGTTTCAGTAGGCAGCGGCTTGGCTCTGCCCCTGGCATTGCTGAAGTCCATGGGCGACGGTAACCACTCACCATCAGGTGGGCCGTATGCCCGTCTGCCTACAAAGGCAATAAAAAAAAAAAAAGAGTAAATTATATGAGTTTAGTCATGATTTTAATATTGTTATATCAGCAATCACTTGCACAACCATTTTTTCCTAGTACTCTAGATGGGTGCACAGTCAATCACCATTAAAATTGTCACCAGATTCCATAGACATCACAACTTGAATGTTGTCATTACCCTGAACATAACATAGGACTTGTGTTGTACAAAATCAGCATGTTTTTAATACACACAGTTATGGAACTATTGTTTTTAATACCCTAACTGGTCTGCCATGCCAGTCTACATATTTCAATATATTTTGAATCATACATACCTTCCCAATTCCACATCTAGTCAGCATTTCAGCAGTCACACTACCGACACCTCCCACACCAACTACAGCTACAGTCTTCTCACGAATCTGTTCATAGTTGTTTACAATGCCCATCCTTTTGAGAGCCATTAAACGACTGGAAACATTTTGGAATATCTATGAATTCTCAGCATGTAAGCTCATAAATATCATTTATGATTATAACTTAAGCAGGTTGTAACTTTTTAGAGAAATGTTTTGTTTTTTCCATGAAATAATAATACATCAACAAAGAATTACTTCATACTTTCATTAAAATAAATTATACAACTATTAGAGAATTGAACTTTTTAACACATTTATTAGCTTAACCAAGATCTACCTACATACATCTTTCAACAAAATTTTCAGAAACTTCAAGACAACCAATTAACTGAAATGTTTTACATTTGTATCAGGGATCACAATACAGTAATGTTATTAATTTACCTTAAAATCAGCACCAGGATAATTTTCTTAGTTCAGATTGCTAATATAATTATTTTTTTGTATACATCTATATGGTATAACATTAGAGGCAAAGCAGTAATAATATATTACAATATTATTTACTCAAGGCTCCATATCCAATAAATTATAAAAACCTTGATAGATGAGACTATGGGGTAATGATTTTGTCAATTTTTGATGATCTCATTTTATTCTGCAATAGTTCTCTGTTTATAATCTTCCTTCTAGATTTTTATCTAAATTTATGCATTCTATAGAATTTCATATTTAAATTTGTTAATACATTATCTCCAACAAAATGATATTTTAATAAATCTAGGTGGGTTAACTACCTATATCATCCTAGATTGAATAATTTGTGTAAAATAATGCTAACTAAGTAAATTTGTTTGATTTTTTATAAATTTAGTTAAGTTGCTCTCTTTAATGTAAATCTTTGGGAATAAAACACTGATGATAACAAATTTGATAGTATTGATAAGTGACTAGATTTTCTAAAACATAGCTCTTTAAAATTTTAACCCATAACCTTAAATTAAGCAATGGCCAAACAATATGCTGTCCTTTTGCAAAATCAACATTTAAAAAAGTTATAAGTCTAAATTCATAAATGTCTTCATATATTCATTGGTTCAACAATATACATTCGCTCAATTGTATGTGTTTGTCTATATTCTTCTCGGCAGAGCTTATTTTTTCGAACATATTGAAATTTGAGAAAGCGTAATGTCAGTTGTTTTAAAGGGAAGGTATTTACTGTGAAATTTCTATTTTTCTGCATGTTCTACATGAAACTTGGATTAAACTCAAAATAAAAACGTTAACTTAATAAAGTTCAATTAACTTAAATGTATCTGTTAATTCAATTAAATAATAAAACATTTAGAAACCTGTAAGGATTAGAATCCACTACTTCGGACGACATAACTTCAATTTTCTGCCGCATTGGACCTCCTTTTGCTTCAACTGCGGCTAATTTAGCCTCAAGCTCTTTTATTTTCTTCTGCAATTCATCCACTGAAGCCATTTTCACATAAATTTACCACTAAACCTGGTATAGAAATTTTCACCAAGACCAACAAAGTTCGAAGATTTAGTGCTATCTGTCAACGTCAAGGTGACGTCTCATGCCACGGTGTAATGTATTTAATAAATGTTCGTTCATTAATTTCAACAAAATGTTATGTATTGTGTACATATAAGAAAATTACATATCTCAAAATTCTCTTGCAACATTTAAAAAAGTAATGTTATATATCCAAGCCTTCGTCTAATTTGAAGCTACTGTTGATGAATGCGAGAAGCCAAGTTGTATGAATTATTTTAATTAGTTAATTTAGTACCTATTTCTTCTGTTTTAAAAGTAGAATAATGGTAACTTTATTAAGTGCATAGTTGCGGGAAAATGCAACAAAGTCGTTGGACATGGGTTCTTGAGTTTTTCCAAAAAGTCTCGGTAAATTCCCAAGTTTTAATTGAATGTTATTTAATTCCATTTTACCTCAGCTACACATAAATCCTAATGGATTATTACAATTTGAAATAAATCTACTTAATTTTTTCTTAATCTATCTATCTATCTATCTATCAGCCCATGGACGTCCACTGCTGGACATAGGCCTCCCCCAAGCCTCGCCACAAAGACCGGTCCTGCGCTGCCTGCATCCAGCGGATCCCCGCGAACCTTAATAGGTCGTCGGCCCACCTTGTGGGAGGCCTACCCACGCTACGTCTCCCAGTACGCGGTCGCCACTCAAGAACCTTCTGGNCCATGACAATGGTGATGTGAGTTTTAAAGCTATGCATGGCTCTGGAAATGTCCTCATACATAGTCTCTACCTCATCGTCGGAGTGTGCCGAGGTCGGAGCGTAAACCTGTATGATCTTCAACGAATACTTTTTGGTGATTCTGAGTACAAGGTACGCCACCCTGGTTGACACACTCTCGATTTTGAGCACATTATTCACAAGGGACTTGTGGACGAAAAATCCGACACCGCCTTGAGACAGATGATCACCTTCTCGAAAATAGAACAAGTTACCGGACCTCAGAGTTATCGTGTCCTCTCCCTCTCTTCGGACTTCAGATAAGCCCACAATGTCCCACCGTAACCTGCTCAATTCTTCCTCGAGTTCCACAATCTTCTCATCGGTCCGCAGTGTTCGCACGTTGTATGTTGCCAGGTCCAGTCGTCGTTTTTTATGGTAGCCGGATCTCTGCCGGAGATTCTTAGCACCCCCTGCCCCGCCGTTACCTTGACCGCTACCGTAGCCAGGAATAGCGGAGCTGCCGGGGACTGGGGGCCAGTTTTTATTTGTGTCAGCCATGTTGGGGGGGGTTGCCATAATCGCCACGCTTGGCATGCGGGTTGGCGATCGCAATGTGCTGTTATGATACTCGGAGAACGCTGCTGCCCATTCTCTGGATAATCCCTTAGTCGCCTCTTACGACACCCACGGGAGGAGAAGGGGAGGTGTTATTCTTTTATCGAGGCCGACACCACACGACCAATTTCTTAATGCATGTAAGTATTTCATATATTTATTAATTAAAGATTTTCTTAAACTCGACACCGGCAGTCATGGAATCACCAACTAGCTGTTGTTATTCTGAACTTTAGAATCTATAACTTTAGAATAGTTTCGAAACAAAAAAAAATTGTCATACGTTTCTTTGTACTGTTTTTTTTTTTTGCTTAGACGGATAAAGAGCTCACACCACCCCTGGTGGTAAGTGGCTTCCAGAGCCCATAGATATCACTATGTGAAGAGCGTCTGCCCTGAAATCAGGTTTAAGTCTTATTTGTATAATGGCCATTTCACTCTTCAAGCCGGAACGCATTACTGCTTTGGTGCAGATTGTTGGCGGTACCTACCAGTACAGGTAGGTACACAAGACGACTAGTAAATTCCGATAGACGGTCGTAGTACGCCAGTACAATAAATACTTAGAGAAGACTTACTGGTGGTAGGCACCTCTTGTGAGTCCGCACGGGTAGGCTACCACCCCGGCTAGGCTATTACTTAGACTTCATACTTAGAACTCATATTCTATGCAAATACTGTTTCTATTTAAAGAGTGAAATAATCATTTTCAAGCCCGCGCGGGTGGGTACCACTACCCTGCCTATTTCTACCGTGAAGCAGTAATGCGTTTCGGTTTGAAGGGTGGGGCAGCCGTTGTAACTATACTGAGAACTTATATCTCAAGGTGGATGGGATGGCGCATTTACGTTGTAGATGACTATAGGCTCCAGTAACCACTTAACACCNTGTTTCTATTTAAAGAGTGAAATAATCATTTTCAAGCCCGCGCGGGTGGGTACCACTACCCTGCCTATTTCTACCGTGAAGCAGTAATGCGTTTCGGTTTGAAGGGTGGGGCAGCCGTTGTAACTATACTGAGAACTTATATCTCAAGGTGGATGGGATGGCGCATTTACGTTGTAGATGACTATAGGCTCCAGTAACCACTTAACACCAGATGGGCTGTGAGCTCGTCCACCCATCTAAGCAATAAAAAATAAAAATAAAACGCTGCTACTAATTCTCCGGAGAAACTTCGGTCGCTTTTTACGATTGACGGTAAGTATTTGTCAAAGCGCAATGAGATGAGATGGCGGTAATGTACATGTACATTGTACAACCGTCACTACATGGATAACGTAAGATGGCTCACTTTGTATTTTCACTCGTGAGAACACCGGCTTAGTCACATCGCGGAATACGTCTAGATTTACCTACCCTGGGTCTTACATCTGCCTTTCGACAGCTAATTTAGGATATTTATTGTGAAACATGATTCCGGCAGAAAATTTTACGCATTTTGTTTACCTTTTAAATGTAATAAAGTGAAAATACCTATATGTTAAAAATGACCCGCTTTGAAAAATGCATTACTCCAACCCATCTTTCAGGCTGTCTGGAATTAGAACTTATAAATTATAGCCCATCACTTAAGCGACATCTTAATTTTTTTAAATGTTTTTTTACGGAATACGCTCCTATGAACCATACAATTTGATTTTTTGCTCAAGCCGTCTCATTATTAGCCCTCTAACACAGTGGTATACACGGCACATGGCTACTTGCTTGTTATACATATATTTTAATAATGCTCTAATAATATTTCATAAGCTTAGTAGAAGTCGTAGGGCGAAATGGTCTGGCTGCATCACACGGAATCACGTCAGAGTTTGCATTCTACAATGAGAGGACTCCTTTGATAATCCCTTGATGCTTTGGGAAAAGATAACTGAGCAAGAGAAAATTAAGAAATAAAAGAATATGATGTATTACTAAAATGTTTATTTTCTCAGATGCAAAATCGTCTGTCAGCCTCAGTACTGGTGTACATTTGAAACTAATTTTAAATGATATATTATTTTACCTTTCTTTATGTGAACATACATCTCTAAGATTTAACCTGTAGGAGAATGAGATAGAATACTTTTGACGGTTTCACTTCTACCGCGTGTGAACTGCACACATGATTTTATTAACCTCAATGAATCCGCCGCTATCTGCCTTGAGACATGAGGTCGTAGTCTCAATTGTACAGCTACCCTACCATTGAAATGAACACGTATATCTGCTTCACGGCAGAAATTGGCGGGATGTACTGCAGGATGCAACCTTCGTTGAGAGATAATAAACCAATAACACAAGACGGCAGCATACAATGTTTATTCTGTGGTTACAATTTATTCGGTTTCATTTGTGACCATGGCACACAGCGGAAGCCGTCTTTCCAAGTCAAAATTTTTAAAACAAAAAATAAACAAGTTTGACAGCCTCTTCGAGAGGTTCACAGTACCTATACATACATACGTATATACCAAGCAAAACTAGTTAAATGATCTAAGTTATATTCATTTAACTACATACATTTTTAGCCTTGCAGGTTAATGTCAATGACCTTATTGAGATGTGCTGCATTGCTTTTAAACCCACTTTATGACTATATATTTTTAATAGATTTGTAATAGACTATGATTTGCTTGTTTCATTGCTTAGACATATTATAATTTTGTGATATCAATATTTTAGAACATTTTGACTTGACTTTAACGACAATTTTCTTCCCGCGATAGTTTTCACTTCCTTGTGTGACATTTTTCGTTAACAGATAAATTTATAGATGTAGGGATGCGCTCAGTACAATACGTACGTACCTACACAGGTACGTATAAATATGTTAATAGATATTTTTCTATTTCAAGGTTTAAGATTTCATTTTAATGTCACTCGAACGTCGAAGGCCAAGTGCTATTTCTGCCGCAAAACATGACCCCAGTAATGCGTTTTGATTGATAATCGTACAACATGTAAACATTTATTCTTCGCTGAATATAGTGTAATGTTAACCACCAATTTACTAGTTTACTAGTACTAGCCAATACTAGAAGTAACATTAAAAAATTCAAACCAATAACGCAACTATTGAGGTATAGGTACTATAATAAAGCTAATAGACTATAGTTTAATCGGAGCGGAGTTATAGACCTGTTTGTTTTTTAGTTTCAGCCAAGAAACGAAAGCTAACGGTTGTGTTTTTGACTTGTTTTATTTTTAAATATATCCTATGTGTTTTGGCTTTTTTCTATTTCGTATTGTTAATAATGCTACGTTTGTGACTGTGATTATTTAGATAATTAATACAAGAACTGTTTCCTTTCGATTTACCGTAAGTATTAAAACGTTTCTGAGCCTACTTGCTTCAAAAAAAGTAGGAGTCTCTCAATTAGACTGTATTTTTTGTTTTATAGGTGAACCAATTTTAAAGGTCTTATTTAAATTTTATTAAGACCAATAAATAGTTTTTGAGTTATCTTTAATAATACATGTAAAATTGTCTTCGACTACATTAATGATGTTCTCATAAAATTTTCATGAAGTCGTTTTTCGTTTTTAGTACCTAATATTTTTTATTTTTACATTTAATTTTGTCTCTTAAATTCATACATATATTGAAAGCAAGGCTGAAAAAAAATGATTAATTCATTTTACCAGTTGTTTATTTACCGGCAAGTTGTCTAAGCAATAAATACCTAACTGACCTGTCACAAGTTGGCAAACGACTTGCACAATGCAAGTATAATTAATAATAAAACCGATATTATCAAAATATGATAATAAAAATAAAATTTCCGTAAATGTACTAATGGCAGGGCGTATTGTTTGAGCCCATCTTTCTGCCTATTTCCTATTTCGTCACGAAACAGTCGCGCGTTCTAATTGGACAGATGGGACAGTCGCTAACCAATCCAATTGGAACTCAGACCCCAATTCTCGAAGTTAGTAACAGGCAACAGCATTCACGTTGCGATACCTAAGAGCTCTAGAAACCAATAGCCCACGTGGACCGTAAATTCTTTCATACAAATAGTGAAAAAGAAAACTAAAAACCTCCATTATTGTCGCAAATTTTCATTCTATGAAAAACGTTTGTTTTAATTGTAAAAATTCATGTAGATTGCTACATGAATTTTTTTAAGGATATGCATAGAGGAAATGAAAATTATTATAAAACATATCTATACTAATATATAAATCTACAATGGTTTTTACGGATGTTCCGTTATAACTACTGAACCATGCATCCGATTGACTTGAAACTTGGTATCCATGTAGAAAATACATGTCCTTAATGGATAGACCAATATTTATATGAGTCTTGGATTCCCTTATAATAATGAAAATAAATAATAATGTTAATTTTAAATGCCGCAGTGAAGCGGGCGAGTACGGCTAGTATAATTATAAAATTTTAGCATAGCAATACGTCTTTGAAAAAATTAAGTATTGCAAAAATATATTGAATTCGCCAGACAGAAAGTTAATGATTTTACTGGATAGTTGCGTGGACTAGATAGCGCAGAATCACAGAATCCCGCAGGCAGGTAACAAGTTTTCTGATGAAACTTACACGAATGACAGGAATCGTGTAAAACAAATCAAACCCGCAAAAATTATAATTTTCGTAACTAATGGTGGTAGGGCATCTTGTGAGCTCACACGGGTAGGAACCCTATTTCTGCTGTGAAGCAGTAATGCGTTTCGGTTTAAATAGCGGAGCAGACTTTGTATTTTAAAAACTGAAACTTACAACTCATGTCTCAAAAAAGGCGGCGGCATTGACGCGGTTAATGTCTATGAGCTCCGGTGACCACTAAACACCAGGTGGCCCGTGAGCTCGTCAACCTATCTAAGCAATAAAAAGAGTACCGCTACGTCATTGCTGTGAATAGTCAATGCCAAGCTTCCTTGCCAGGGGTCCGTACCTTATTGTTCGGAAGCTAAGCAAGCCTACCTTGAAAATGTCGTTAGCGATATTCAGGTATCTGTCGCATAGCTTGTGTTCTGCGGTGACTACCCCCCTACAAGGATTTGAATTTGAATTTGCGTATATTAGTGATTAAAAGCTCGTTAACGCCATGGCCAACGTGACGATATATTTTAAAGCTAACCGAGTTTAATTCGAAATGTTTGTTAATAAAAAAAGGTCAACGAACCAAATGACAGCAAAAATACTAAAATAGAATAAACAAAATTCAAATTTCTAACCATGTGATGTTAAATTTATCCATAATTAAACTGAGAAAAATAACAACAAATCAATTTTATTGTAATTTGAAGAATACCCATTAAATAAATAACATAATATATGCCTTTCTCTAATAGAAAGCATAGACCCAGAAAAAGTTTAAAAAAAGGATATATTATGCAAGGGTAGAGAATTAATTTCTATGGCGACCCAAATCATCACTATTAATCGTAAACGTTATTCTACTTTCTTCAATAAAACGAATTATATTTTTCCATTCGAATTTTCTTACGCTTTACAAAGTAGTTTAGTCACAAAATACATTCCTATTCAAAATTTTGACACAAATACAATTTTTTTTATTTAAAAGTTTTTAAACTGGATTCTATTTATGAGATTCAAATTTTAGCATTCAAGAAATTTTAATAACCGCCAATTTGAATGCTTATTTTTTTTTTACAAAATGTAAAATAAATTTCGACTGGGTTTGTTATTCATTAAAGTATAAAATAGTTTGGTGGTAAGCGTTATTAAAATGTGGGAATAAACGAGTCTTAAAACCAAAATGCTTTTAAATCAACACTACCTGAACAAATGAATTTCTAGGTACTCATCAAATAATTCATTATGTCCCGACCTAATTAATGTCCATAAACATAACTATCACCTATTATTATTACGTACTATTACTAAAGCTATTTAAATTACGTAATTTAATTTCTTTTTTATTGCTTTAATAGGTAAACGAGCTCACGGCCCACCTAATGTTAAGAGGTTACCGGAGCGCATGAGACGAGTTCTTTTTTTTTTCTATCTAAGCTGATGATAGCCTTGAGAGGCTATATCAGCGTAACCTTAACTAGTCGGTGAGCTCACGGGGCTCAAACCTGACGACATGAGTTCTAAGATCTCTGGTTTTACAGTACAACGGGTCCCCTACCCTTCACACTGAAACGCATTACTTTATCACGGCACAAACGGGCAGGGTAGTACCTACCCGTGTGGATTCACAAGACGTCCTACCAACAGTAATTACGCAAATTATAATTTTTCGTGTTCGATTTTTATTACACGATGTCATTCCTACACTGTGGAAGTCAATCGTGAACATTTGTTAAGTACGTATTATATTTCATTAGAAAAATTGGTACTTGCCTGCAGGATTCGAACACCGGTGCATCGCTTGATACGACAGCATCGGGCGTCTTATCCTTATTAGGCCACGACGGCTAGTATTGGCTTTCAGAGCCGGAATATTACTTTACGTCATTGACAACAAAGTCAACATTGCGCCAGCATTATATTAAAATTTTAGGATTGTTATGCTTTTCTACCTACATGGACAATAATTTTTGTCTAGTAATTTTATATTTTTCTGTATCTGAAGTATAGCTGTTATATTCTTTGTAGGAGGAGCACTGCTGCTTGAGATACAGGTTTTATCACCTAGTTGAAGCACAGATGCAAGTTATGATTGTATTTCTACTTCTCTGTTAACAATAAATAAATAAAATAGTTTTTATAAGAGACCAAAACTGAAATGATTTTCTACGCTGCATATCCTAAAAATTCACATTATAAAATACATCGACGTATAAAAATGAATAGTGATAAATATGTCATGTAAAGTCGAAGACAAAAACCGATTTAAAAGCCCTGTTGGCTTCGCAGACAGAGCCGCCATCACCACAGCTTGTGTGGAAGCTCTCCAAAATGCGTTAAATGAAAATCTATTGATGGAACACATTATAAGCGATTCGACATTCAAGGACTACTTAACGCATGGAGAATAGGTCATCAAAAAATACTTGAATGCTTATTAAATTTTTCATTGAAAATTATGTAAATTGTTATATTATAATTATATTATCAAAAATGTTCGACTAGGTAAGTTACAACTTGTAAGTATTATAATACATGTTGACTTTGATCGTTATATCTTATTTTCAAGGATGTGTCCTTAGTTTCATGTTTTTTTAGCTTGCTACTATTTAAATACAATTTGTAACATAGCGGAGCAATGAAACGCTTTTTTAAACTTACGCAGGCAGGCGACTCGGTGTTTTAGTTCACATTTTACGTCAAGAAACACGTCAAAAAGGTTTAAAATGCATTTTTATTGGTTAAAAGCAATTACTTCTTTTTACATATAAAATATCATTGTTTAAAAGTCTAAAACAAATTGTGCTGAAATGCTTGGAATTTCACAATTTTACATATATTTTTTTTCCTAGCTATGCTGATAGCCTTGAGAGGCTATATCAGCGTTACCCTAGCGTGTAGATGAGCTCTTGGGGCTCAAGCCAGGAGGCGTTGCCAATACTAGCCCTGTTAGATCTACCACCAGATCGGAAACGCGACCCACTGAGAAGATCCGGCGAGAAACTCAGTGGGCTAATTTTACATAGGCCTCGGTTTTCATTATAGAGAAAAATCTACAACAACGACTGCTCCGCCCTTCAAACCGAAACGCATTACTGCTTCACGGCAGAAATAAGCAAGGTGGTGGTACCTACCCGTGCGGACTCACAAGAGGTCCTACCACCAGTTAAACGGTCGGTTCGTTCTTTTTGCGTGTATTTCAATTCGTTCCTTGTCATCTCATTTGTGTCCGTCTTTTAAGTCAAAAAATATACTGCCTGCCGCTAGTCACGTACGCCCTCGTTTCATTTCTCTCTTTATTTTTGAATTATTGTCAAGTATCTGTCTTAGTCTGTATCTATGTCTAGTCGTTGTAGGTCTTAATATGTCCTGTCAAAGAGGTTGCACGCCACAACAACCAGTAATGTGCCATATTAGTGGCTATTTGGGTTATAATTGAGCTTTTTTACAGACGATGCAGCGTCCGACCACTAGCTCGGAGCGCACGCCCCTGGTGCAGCCGGTGTACGTGTACGACTCCGGTGTGGGCCGCAGATACCAGAAGCGATTACAGCACTTTCAATGTGCCATATGCGTTGTACTCATGTAAGTATGCATTGTACTTATGTCCTTCTTCAAATGAGGCTTGCGGAGAGTATTAAGCAGTAGGCAGCCGCTTGGCTCTACCCCTGGCATTGCTGAAGTCCATGGGCGACGGTAACCACTCACCATCAGGTGGTCACTATCAGGTGGGCCGTATGCTCGTCTGCCTACAAAGACAATAATAAAAAAATATATTTTACTAGCTGAGCGAATACCTACCACTCTGATAAAACAGAAAATCAAAGAACGGAAAATCCTTATACTTAACTTGAAATTGGAACATTTGGTTGAATCTCGACAGCAATAGACGATATGTAAATGAAGGTACAATCTTGAGAGTCCTCACGAAGCGTCCTACTACCAGCCTACTGGTAAGATGATGTAACACTGAACACTATTAGACACACGGAATCAACAACAACTCTACAGATATAAAACGGGCCATTCACATATCATTGGCCTGTTTGCTAATCTAAATTTTAAATTAAATGTTATTAATGCCACATAAAGATAATTTCCATAGGGGCTTGGATAATAATCCGAATCTAAATGTGTGGACTTGATTTCTATTATTGTTGTCGCCAGGACCGTTATGTCGAAAGTCGAAGGCGTTCGCGAATCAATTTAGCTTCAATAACAGCTTAATGTCCACCTAGGCGTTATCTCACTAGCGTCCGTATAGATAGACTAGCAAAAAATTTACCTATTAGTCTACTTAGTCTGGCCATAAATACTGTTACAATTAAAAATAATAAAAATTCTATTGCAAATAACATTTATTACTTTTACAGTGTGTTAGTTTAATACATAAATATAAAACAATTTAAAGTATAAAAAGCTTATTCGAAGTGGTCTCCATTGGCTGCAATACAGTCCTTTAAACGTTGAGGCCAGTTATCAATAGAAGCACACACTCTTTCCATGGGAAAATTTTTCACTGCCAATCGTACGGATTGTCTTAGGGACTCCAAATTATCATGGCGGTTAGAGTAAGCCGTACCCTCTAAAACTGACCATAAATCATAATCCAGCGGATTAAGATCGGGACTAGACGACGGCTTTGATGAAGTCCGTAACGTTCGTTTCCAACCAAGACTGCGTAGACCGAGCTTTATGACCTGGCGCCGATTCTTGCTGGAAGGACCATTCTTGATTTTTGACATTGTATTGTTAAGGGGCCTTTACCTTCTCAAGAATGGTATCTTGATACACTTGTGCCGATGTTTTGATACCTTTTTCACAAACTTTTTTTTTTTGATAACGCCATCTTGTTGTGTCCTTAAAGCGGTTAGTTGCCCTCAATTAAGAAAAATAGTATTATTATTCGCCAAAAGCTTACTTTACCTTATTACTTATCTTATTAGGCTACCACCCTTTAAGACTGCGCTTAGAAAACCAGATAGTGATTTACAACATTAAAGTAAGCCAATATTATTGTAGCGCCATCCTCGGGATTTCACTATTGGTGACCGTGTCCTATAATCTCGCTGAGGGCGTGTTCGATGACATTGAAAATGAAAATGGCACGGAGACACTGTCAACGAAGACCACGGCTAAGCCGGTGATCATACCATCTGATGTTCCACTCCCTCTGATCGTGGAGAGGAACCTCACAGCTGTTTCGCCGTCTTTACAGCCATTCCTCAACTTACAGTGGCCTTTAAAAGGTTGGTAAATTAGAATTACTTATTTATTTAGCATAAGTGATTATAGATATATAAGTTTCTCGCCCAATCTTCTCAGTGGGCCGCAATTCGATCCGGTGGTAGATTTTACGAAGCACTGCTCTTGCTAGTGTTAGCAAATTTACTCAGGTTGACCCGGTGAACTCACTGACCCGTCCGCGTATAGCTGAAATAGCCCCTTAGGCTATCAGCGAATAGATTGGGGAAAAAGTATAATAATGCTTGTGGACAATTCCGTTGAAGCTGCATTACTCTAATTATAATTAGGACAGAGTTTAATTGGTGTTAGTGGTTACCCAGTATCACAGTATGAATACGTTCTACACTAAAGACCGCAGTGTGAATTTTTCGCCCAGCCTGTTTCACAGGGTCGAAACCTCAATTGTATTACAATATAAAAAATAACAATCCTATTATTCAAATCGCAATGCATGATTGCATCGAGACAGAAAAACGCAACAACTCTTGAAGGTATAATTAACTAAGTAGCTAAAATATCGGAATGTTTAATTGTTTAGCTGTCGAGATCAAACACCGAATTTACAGCTACTTACAATTTTTTTTACACAAGTGACATAATTATTTATTTCTCAATGATAATTATTTTCTATTTATTAAGCAATTTATTAATTTTTTCATTGTGTTATTTTTGTATTTGTTTTACTTTTTGTGTTAATTATTTAATTCTAAGCGATGCGAGGCCATAATCGTTTACTTAGTTATTTAAATGCGGAGATTTAAATGGTGCGTAGTTGTAAGGTTAGTTTCTATTTATTTTAAGTTCACTGTTTGTCTTCCAAATAAAATAAAATAAACAAAATAAAATAAAAATAATCATTCGTTAGTAGGGTAATAAACATAATTTTTTAATGCAAATTCAGTGCCACTCCAAAGCTGCGTTATTCGTTGGATCCTGACCCGTCAAAATTTAAAGGTCGGACAATATTTGCTTGATATTAAAATGTCAGGATATTATGTCCGTTTTCATCTTATAAATAACTGGGCAGAATATTATTTGCCACTGTAGCATCATACTACGGGCTCGTTAAAGACTGAATTTTAAGTAATGACTGCAGCAATGAATAAGGTACATGCCAGAGAGTCGCCCAAAATGCTGTCTACAAATATTTAGCTTCCACGTCTTCCGTAGTTATTAAGACCACGGAATAGATAAATCTATTCCGTGATTAAGACCTTGCCAGGGCAATCTATACCCTTAAACGTACACAGTAAGTTTCTCGTATATATCCGACAGTACGTTTCTCTTAGACAATATACTGAAGGAGTATTACTGTGTTTCACGGGAGATTCCAGTTTTCTTTCTAATCTACTTATCTATACTAATATATAAATCTACAGTGGTTTTTACGGATGTTCTGCTTAACTACTGAACCGTGCATCCGATTGACTTGAAACTTGGTATCCGTGTAGAACATACATGTACTTAATGGATAGGCTAATATTTATATGAGTGTTGGACTCCTTACACCAGTTGCGGGGGCGTTAATGATGAGAATCTTTGTGGGGGTGAAAATAATAATGTTAATTTTAAATGCCCAGCGAAGCGGACGGGTACAGCTAGTAGTGTATAAGGTTGAAGTGAGTAATAATCTAGAGCAGTGATTCTCAACCACTGTGCCGCGGCACTTTTGTGTGCCGTCAAATTTTGCAAATATATAATAATGTTAATATTATTAAATTATATCATTTAAAAACAAAAATATTTTTAACATGAATATATATTTAAATCCACAAAAAAATAAATTATTTTATTATTTGCTTTGCAACGCGGTTTTTCTTAGTGCCAAATTATGATGAAGCGGCGTGCATAGCAATAGGAATATTGTCTCAAGTCGGCGCACACTTGCCACTTCTGCGTACAAAACGTGTTGTTTTAGTGATAGTTGGGATTCACAAGGTGTTGCATAGTAGTTACTGCATCTTTTCTTTCGTTAAAATTGGCAAATGAATGTGATTCGGTAGTAAGTAAATTATTTTTATCTTTTTCTTTGTGTGCCGCCAAATTTTTAAATCGTTAAATATGTGCCGCAACAAAAAAAAGGTTGAGAATCACTGATCTAGAGCTATAGACGTGGCGTAATGCCCCAAGTCTTTTTAAAATAATAATGCGACTAGTTAAAAATGAATTATTCGTTAAATACCATTTCTAAAATACCTACCGCAACATAATGAAACAGGTCGGAATACATGCGTAAATTATTTAAATATTTATATGTATGATAATGAAATGGATTTTATCTTTAAAAATATATACGATCTACATAAAAAATTGAACAGGTCCGATTCTGCTTTTTATTTTAGATTTTGCAGTAAAAATTAAGGAACAACAGCTTTCTAATTACTCAGTGGTCTTATTAACAATGTTAGTATAACATACGAATAGTCACGCCACGCTAAATCCATTTCGTTTTTTTTTATTGCTTCGATGGGTGGACGAGCTCACAGCCCACCTGGTGTTAAGTGGTTACTGGAGCCCATTGACATCTGCATCGTAATATGCACCACCCACCTTGAGTTTTATGTTCTAAGGTCTCAAGTATAATTACAACGGCTGCCCCACCCTTCAAACCGAAACGCATTACTCCTTCACGGCAGAAATAGGCAAGGTTCTTAACGCGTTTTTAGCCTGTTCATTAATAATAAGCCTAGGGGTTATTATAAATTACGTCATGGGTCTAAGGGCTATCACCGGAATCTGACATAGTGTGTCAAGGGCCAGGGGAATAAGAACTGTGTGACGTCACAGATTAAGATATAAAATACTAAAGCACGAAATTGATATGTGAAACTTTAAACATTTGCGAATTCTATTTATATTTATTAATACTTTAGCACTCTAGCTTTAAAGTTATCTCTCATGCAAATACATTCAATTTCAAGTGCGGCGTTGTAATGCAAGTGAGACACTAAAATTCATGAGAGCCCCGCCTATTTCTGCCGTGAAGCAGTACCTAATGCGTTTCGGCTTAAAGGGTGGGGCAGCCGTTGTAACTATACTGAGATCTTAGAACTTATATCTCAAGGTGGGTGGCGCATTTACGTTGTCGATGTCCATGGGCTCCAGTAACCACTTAACACCAGGTGGGCTGTGAGCTCGTCCACCCTCTAAGCAATAAAAAAATTAAAAAATTATGAGAGCTCTGAATGGTGTGAGGTGAGGTTAAAAAGTCCTAAAATTCGTGTGTCGCAATATATGGATGGCCCATAATTAACAACAGATTCCAGATTACACCGTATTGTGCATATTATTACACTTCAAACTACTAACGCAATACCAGTTCCTTCAAAATTTTTAATAGTCTGCAGTCTGCTTAGTGCGAGTTTTTTAATGTTCTCGATCGCGTAAAAGCCAACTCAAATTTGTATTCAGTTGGAACAGCGCCTTTAGCGGCAAACGTAGGCAAACGTTCCAACTCCATATAAATTTGAGTCAACTTTTCCGCTATCGAGAATATTAAAAAACTCGCACTAAGCAGACTGGGCAATGAATCCTAGGATGGCAGTTACCCATATTTATTCAAGTGATCAATATTAAACAAACAACTCTAGGGAGTTTCTTAGTAAAAACTAAACCTGTTACATAAGAGTGTTTTTCAATAAAAATACGTAAAACTCGGCTTTTACCAATTTTAAGAACAGATAACATAACAATCTAATTGACATTGGCCACGCCGGCATTTTGGACTTTGCTGGCCCTTGTAATTCAATTTCCATTTGTTTTTGGTGAAATAGTGAAAATCAGTACCTGACGCACAAGATAGTTAAACCAGTAGGCAGGGTATTTTAGATATTTCCTGTTAGCCCAATAAATTATTCACCATAAATTACGAAATATTGCGTAATCATTAAAGTAGATTTTAATTGAACTAGATCGTTAGCGTATCAGGTTTTTTACTGAACAGATAACGCATGGTAATTTACTTATTTTAATTAGGATTGAAAATTGCAACCTTGTAACATCACGACGCGCTTAACATATAATTATACTAAAATGGAAACAGAAATCTTTACGAAACATCTTAAGGCTTAATGTTGATTTGGACAGAATAAAGATCTTAAGCCTCCTGTGTCAAGCGGTCGTCGGCGCTCACTTTGCTGTCAAGAATTTGTCATCATACAACATTCATTTTATGTAGGCCGATATTTGTAGGCTCATTCAGGCAATGAATATACAAAACAATTAATTGGTCTACTAATTGACCCTTCAACAAAGTTTATAATGAAATACCAAACTAACAACCATCAGTTTTAGGTTATTCAAATTGAAGTATTTTTATAGTCTTGTTTTTTTTATTCAAGGCTGTTCACGTGTACGTAAAGGGAACCACTATTTTAAGGCCAAGATGTGTCTAATATTACATAAGAATAAGATCATGATTATATCTTTCCGGGTATACAGAAAGGTATTTTTTTAAGATTACAAATTATCAGTCAACCAGCTCTGAAATAATTGTGTGGGTAATCTTCCTTTCGTATTGATAACATCCTCACCTTGATTTTTAACTCAATTCTCTCAGTAATTCTGTATTTTTACTATTACCTCTTACTTACTTTTACTTATTTTTTACATCTGTATTTTGTACCGTATGTTCCATGGGGAGTGCTCTGAGGAATTATTCGAGATGATGCCATCATCTCGTTTTTACCATCGCACCGCCCGCCACCGGAGCGGAGTAGAGTTCATCCGTGGTGTTTCCCGAGCGCTATGACATGTCCTTCTTCAAACGAGGCTTGTGGCGAGTATTAAGCGGTAGGCAGCGGCTTGGCTCTGTCCCTGGCATTGCTGAAGTCCATGTGTGACGGTAACCACTCACCATCAGGTGGGTAATATGCTCGTCTGCCTACAAGGGCAATAAAAATCCTTTCCAGTTTTATTAATCAAAGGCTCCAATTAACGGTTGACGACAGGAAGACGGCGTCTGCTAACCTCCAGCTTTCGAGGTCATTAAAAAAATCAAAAAACTTTATTACATTAACAGATAAAAAATCGCCACCGTGGTCACGGAAGCCGCCCACAAAAGAGGAAATCGATGATGCAGTGCTCAAAGGAAAAGCTGCTTTAAAGGAACTGATAAAAGTCGAAAATCTTCGGAAGCCACTGAAGAGAGACGACCCCGCCAATAAGGCGCAGAGAGCAGCGGCCACCGGGGGTGACGTCAAACCACTTGCTGATGCTGCCTATGCTGCTGAGCACACCACCAAAGCCCTGTTTACAGAGTAAGAACTCTTCCTCACTCATACTTTTGTAATATTGGCCAAGGATGGCCGTGGTATGNAACTGATAAAAGTCGAAAATCTTCGGAAGCCACTGAAGAGAGACGACCCCGCCAATAAGGCGCAGAGAGCAGCGGCCACCGGGGGTGACGTCAAACCACTTGCTGATGCTGCCTATGCTGCTGAGCACACCACCAAAGCCCTGTTTACAGAGTAAGAACTCTTCCTCACTCATACTTTTGTAATATTGGCCAAGGATGGCCGTGGTACGATGTTTTTTACTGGTGGTCGGATCTCTTATGAGTCCGCATGGGTAGGTACCACCATCCTGCCTATTTCTGCCGTGAAGCAGTAATGCGTTTCGGTTTGAAGGGTGGAGCAGCCTTTTTAACTGGGCCGTGAGCTAGTCCACCGACCTAAGCAATAAACAAAAAATAACATAAAAAACTTCCATCATTTTATTTTAAATAGAAGTCCAACAAATTGTATATTTCAATTTTATAATTATTTTTTTCTTTTTCAAAGAATATTTTCCTGTCGAGTATTTTTCATAATGCTACCAATAAAACAAATGAAGCGAAGTATATTATTATACAGTATAATAAAATAACCTCCATTCAATTACGTGTCATTTTTTTCAACGTTTTTTAAATGCGACCTCGAAGCGCCCAGCAACTTAGTGCCAAAGTCCTTTGGCCAACGATAAATTAATAATTCACTTTTTTATTTTTCTTGATACCTTGATTCACATTCGTATAGGTGATATTATGAAATAATACAAAATGTGAATGTTGCTAAACAGCTGCTATTCTGAAAACTATGTCAGTTGCTGGTACTGGTGGTAGGACCTCTTGTCAGTCCGCACGGGTAGCTACCACCACCCTGGCCATTTCTGCCGTGAAGCAGTAATGCGTTTCGGTTTGAAGGGCGGGGCAGCCGTTGTAACTATACTGAGACCTTAGAACTGATATCTCAAGTTGGGTGGCGCATTTACGTTGTAGATGTCTATGGGCTCCAGTGACCACTTAACACCAGGTGGGCTGTGAGATCGTCCACCCATCTAAGCAATAAAAAAAAAAGTTTCTTTTGCGCTGCCCAGATGGCTCATGGTTTACCCTAGTAGGCTATTAAAATAAAGTTTGAATATTATTTATAGCTAGACGACATATATTGTGGATAAGTAGCCGAGGTTCCGCCTGCGCGTTGAGGGCGGTAGACGTTGCATGTCTCAGTTGAACCGGCTAAAACGCCTGTCGTTCAATAACTCGCGTGTGGTGTGAATTGTTACGCATGGATTCGCCTCTTTCCCCAATATCCTACCCCCTACGCCAAATCGTCGGCGATATGATCACCAAGTCACTCGGCCGACCGGTTTTCCATAGCCTTCCTGGGCGGCTCCGCTTACTCGTATTCCCGAAATACCGTCGTCGTGGCCTAAAGGATAAGACGTCCGGTGCATTCGTGTTTAGCGATGCACCGGTGTTCGAATCTCAGGCGGGTACCAATTTTTCTAATGAAATACGTACTCAACAAATGTTCACGATTGACTTCCACGGTGAAGGCATAACATCGTGTAATAAAAATCAAACCCGCAAAATTATAATTTGCGTAGTTATTGGTGGTAGGACCTCTTGTGAGTCCGCACGGGTAGGTACCACCACCCTGCCTATTTCTGCCGTGAAGCAGTAATGCGTTTCGGTTTGAAGGGTGGGGCAGCCGTTATAACTATACTGAGACCTTAGAACTCATATCTCAAGGTAGGTGGCGCATTTACGGTTGTAGATGCTCCAGTAACCACTTTACACCAGGTGGGCTGTGAGCTCGTTTACCCATCTAAGCAATAAATAAATAAAACCGCTCTGAGTTAGAGCCTACATGGGTTGGGGAGTGGGATCAATCGCCGTCGCTGACTCTTTCGTAAGACAGGTATAGAGTAGATTATACGTCGTCCTCTTAAGTTTCCCTCGCCGGACCCCATGTCCGCATACGGAGGGGACAGGAAACTCTTACAGGACCAGGATTCGAGTAAGATTCTTATCCTAAGCCCCAGCTCGACAGCGACAGTTGGTGCCCAGATAGAATAGTGCTCTTTCTCGTACCCAATCCTAGCTTCTGCAAAATGCTGTACTCGCCGAAGTCCATAATATATAATATAATAATAAGTTATGATTCCTGGAAGCGTCAAATTGTTACTAATTTAATATTCTGCAATATACCTCATTGTACAATAGTACGATCTTCGGTTGATATATCTATGTTAGCAAATAGCTCTACTTTTTCCGTGTTCAAACCATCGATTGTAGGATTAGTGTTGATCGACCTAGTATCTTGGAGCTCTCTGCTCGTTGACGTCCGGACTTATTACATCAATTGGATGCTGTTATGTAAGAGGGAGTCAGTGATGTCTACTTTTAGAGACGTTATTAATCTTTTCGAATAGTGAATAATGTAAATTAGGCTTTTAAACACTAGATTTGTAGGCAGCGGCTTTGCTCTGCCCCTGGCATTGCTGAAGTCCATAGGCGACGGTAACCACTCACCATCAGGCCGTATGCTCGTCTGCCTACAATGGCAATAACAAAAAAAAAAAGATTTATAAGCTTCATGAGATGATGTCTCACCCTGGTGTTTCCGGAGTCCTATTGCAATATCCCTTATAGACCTTTGAAAATTGTTTAATGGTTAACAGCCGTTTGTCAAAGCGACGGTGGTCTCTTCTCATCAGATCTGTCTTCGATAGACTATGATAGATAAATTTTTATATATACATAATTAATATTACAATAAGTTTAATTGAAATTACTTGTTTTTATTTGGTCCCATCTTGTTATACCACGTCCAATTGAACAGTAATAAGTCATAAAGATTATTTATGATCTTACGTTTCCTTTTACATCTGCCACGAAATAAAAAAGTAGTTTTCAATGTTATAGCTTTTTTATAAATGTCCTTTAGTTGGTCGCTTTCCTGGGTTCTTATTCTTCAGTAAGAAAACGCTTGCGTTCTATTTCCCGTTAGAGACAGCTCGGGTTCGTTGAAGATATTTAGAGAAACCCTAGGTATATTCATTCTTTTTTAACTTGCATATATGATTACTTCCGTAGCTACTATATAGTTTGATTAGATTATTCTCTTGGTTACTAAATCTACTGTTTCCAAGGACATTTCATATGAGATAAGCGCAAACTCTAAATGGGATTAAGTATATAGCATGGATTGCACCGATAACAAATAGCTCGTTAGCGTGAAAATGTCACGCTAAGGTACCGCAATTGCAAATCGGGGTGCGATAATGACAGCTCGAGTTGTCAAGATTCGCAGAAACGTTTTGACGAATAGAAAATAAAGCTTAATTTGGGATAATATCCCAATTACTCCCTCGGATCTGTGAGCTGTGACTATAGGCACGCTAAAACCACTGAACGTCGTGCACTAGAATAAAATCCACGATATAGTCTGTTGTTTGGTTGAGGCAGTAACTTAATATCGCGCAACTAAACCATGTAACGTGATCTTGCTTAGTCTGGCTTCATTCTGACTGGTCAACCGCTCCATGCCGAAACCAGTAACCCGCAGTATCGGGTGACGCACAAATAATCCAATCTATTTGTAAGTAGATCGAACCACGGTTTCTTTTACAAAACAAGGCTATTAAAATAGCCAGTTTGGAGTTTACACAGGTTGACATTTTCTTTTTTCAATTAATCAATTCATTTCAATTAATTAAATCAATTCAGTTAATTAATTTTCCTACTTATTGCTAGTAACCTCAAGGGGTTGTGCTAGCTTTACCGGACGTGTAGACGAGCTCACAGGGCTCATCCTGGGAGACTTTGCCAACATCTGCCCTGGCAAGAGCAGTGCTTTGCTGAATTTACCACCGGATCGGAACCGCGATCCATTAAGAAGGTTATGTGAGTGCGAGTGAGTTGTGACGAGACGTATGCAAGTTTTGTATAGTATCACCTTATTACGAAGGGACAATTTACTTCGCTTGCAGGTTGTGAGATAGAGTCTTTTGGGTAAAAAGGCAGCTCAGTCGCGGACTGATTTGGTGTATGGATGGTGTGTCATTCCTCTATCGAAGGTGACGACTAGATACGTGGCCTTCGAGGCCCACGGTATGGGTTGGCCAAAGAGGGTAATGGAGTGATGTCGTTACCACGCCTGAGATACTCGCTGGAGTATCGCGAGTATGACCCCTATTAAAGAGCACGGCTGTGTTTTTCGTTGATGTCGATGCGCCACTTCCGGAACTACTTGCGGTCTGGAGTCACCGATAAATTAACAATTTCTTCCTACTCGAGTGGTAGATAGCCAGATAAATAGTGTTATCAGCAAAGAGGTTTAGATGGCTCGCCGGCGATCGTTGATGTATTAACTAAATAGTAAAGGGGAGAGTGCGGAGCCTTGCGACCCTCCCGCCCTAATGTGATGAGGGAGAGTGCGGGTTCCCTCTACTCGATACCGGCACGGACAGTTCTACAAGATTCAATAACTGTTCAAATGTACAATTTATGGTCCACTGTAAATAGTCTCCCGTCTAATGAGTATTCGCAACGAGTAAGGAGACTATGTCGGGTCGCAAGTCCAAAGGCAGGTATCTATCTAATTAGCCTGACACGTGCTAAAAAACGAATTCCATGTTTATTTATTTAGTGATTTAGCTGCACTGACAATGAGATCGTCAATACGAAACATTGACAAATTGGCAATAAGTATATGGCAGATGTCACCTTTATTGCATGCAAGATCACTGAAGTATGAAACCTTGCAAGATGCAATCGAAACATATTGCAATAGTTGACAACATCTTGAAATTAGAAAAGTAAAAATAGAATGAGTAATTTTAAGAATAATATCACTAAGCAGCAAAATACTTAATTAAAACACTTCGAATTATGGATATATGAATTTTAATCTTCTCTAGATCGAAACAGCCACACAGTAAGTTTTCTAAAACTGGTTCACGAAATAAGGTGAGAGAACTAGCTGGTTTTGTTCATTTATGTACATACATTATCAACTTACGACTTAATTAAAAATATTGCCATAATTTTCAAATTTTAGATGAGCAAACGGGCTTATGTTAGTTGTTACTATATGTTTATTGCATACTAGCGACCCGCCCTCGCTTCGCTTCGGAAACTGTAATTTATTATTGATTTCTCCACTATTTAATGAATGTTATTATACATATAAACCTTCCTCTTCAATCATTCTATTTATTAAAAAAACCGCATCAAAATCCGTTGCGTAGTTTTAAAGATTTAAGCATACATAGGGATATAGGGACAGAGAAAGCGACTTTGTTTTATACTATGTAGTGATGTGTACACAATCTTACGGCCCAACTGGTGTTAAGTTCAGCCAATTTTCCTTTTTAATCGTCTCACCTCCCATCTCACCGTTCCATCCGGAATGCAACTATAAAATAGACAGGATGGTAGTCCCTATCTGTGCAGATTTATAGCACGTAGTTTAACACGATTATTAATTCATATGTGAAAGTACCGATTCGAGAGATTTGAACCCATAAACATAATTTTATTCCCGTTAGGATTACTCACGTTGTGTTACGAGTAGCCCACACAACGGATGCTTCTAAAGCCNGTACCACGAACACAGAAACAACAAAAGGAAACAAAACAAATAAAAACTTCCAGAAAGAGCACTTAGTCGGCAGATGTACCACAAACACAGGCCGCGCGAACAATGGCCGGGCTAACAAAAGCCGGGCGAACAAAGACCGGGCGATCGAGTGGACGATGAGCACGTCCGCACGTGACGGGTGCCTCTATCGGAATGAAGCATCATCCTCTACTGATACCGAATACACATATCAAGAAAAAATTGTAACAACGACCTCAAAAAGACACATCACAATACAATAATAAATAAAAAAAATAAAATCTAATCGAATTTAATCTAATCTTCATAATCGTTTATTTTATTTTGATACTCAATTAATTGGACCTTCTTACATAGATAATTAATTTAAATAAATCCCTTTTTGCTCTAATGTCTATCGTTTTCTTTTCAGGATAAGCACCAATGGTAGTATTGGAGTTGGCCCACTCATCAACGGCACCTTCTCCCAGCCGCTATACTGCGTTGACAGTCCACCGCCCTGTCCAACTTCGAAGTATAGAGCTCAAGATGGCAGCTGTAACAATTTAAAAAATCCTTACAAATTTGGCGTCTCTCGGATCCCGTTCAGAAGAGTTCTTCCTCCAGATTATGCTGACGGTAAGAATTTTCGTAGTTCAGCGCTTTTTATGTTTTGTAAGGTTAGAGCTTTAGCTGGTATTAAGTGGTTGGCAGAGTCCACAGACGTAACATGAATGGATTCGCGCGTATTTTGACAAATCAAGTCAAATCCTATTCTTCAAACTGAAACTCACGGTATCCCCCATTTTAAGTAAACATAATCTATAAAAGATTAATCTAGCATTCATTCATGACATAAATGACAGAGTGAAAAGCTCCTTTTCATGATAGCTGTTCTGCGCTGGTGCCCATCCTGAGTTATTTGACGCGTCCTCTTTTCCCTTCAGTATTCGCCATCATAACAACACAAATGTTTAAGCCCGTAAACAGATTTACTAATTTTTACGCTTTATATGGTTAGTATCAACTGTGGGGTTTTATAGCGGTATGGTATATTAGCGGTAGGCAGCGGCTTGGCTCTGCCCCTGGCATTGCTGAAGACCATGAGGCGACGGTAACCACTTACCATCAGGTGTGCCGTATGCTCGTCTACCTACAAGGGCAATATATACCTATATATATGGACGCGTACCAAATCTCATCTCTTGTGATAGTTCGCATCACCATTTTGCTAACGCATCGAGGCGCTTACTTCCTATTCAAATCATTTATTTCAAGTTAAATGACATTAAAACCTACTTGTTGTCTCTAACATCAGTTCCAAAAAACAACGCCACAGTATTTAGAAGGATTTCGGAAAAAAACCACTGGCCTAATAGTTAATTTCTTTTTGAAATATCAAATTCATTAACTAGTACTTCTTTTAATTACAAATTATATTTTCTTTATTTTGGCTTAACGCTTATAATACCACTTGTAAAAAATAACCCCATAAAAATTCCCGTTTCAGGCATAAGTGCCCCTCGCACGGGTGTCAACGGCACAACTCTGCCGAGTGCGCGCGACGTCAGCGTGACCGTCCACAGACCAAGCTATGCTCACGACTCTGAGTTCACTGTCATGCTGGCCGTGTGGGGACAATTCGTAGACCACGACATTACTGCCACTGCTCTTAGCAAAGGTAAGATATGCATCTATACTATCGTCGGGCTAACATGTGAACTGCTCTCTAAGTTGATTCGCCATCTATTGGAGTGACGTAGGCAAAATAAAAGAGAACTGTCCAAGTCGACAATTCGTGTAATTCTGTCATAATTTAGTGTGTGCAGTTACAAATATAAGGTTAGGCGAGCTGCACACTACAAATTTTAACTTGATTAAAGCCGAACTGGCCCAAGCCTGAACGCTATATTAAGAACCTGGCACGTCATACAACCATGAAGTATAGCTTCGGTAATTTTTCAACCCAATCCTCAGCTAAAATATGATTTGAGATAGATAAGTCATTTCTTTTGTTGGTCTATCTATCGAAGTCCACAAATATCACGATTTGAACAACCCTCAGACACAGCCCACTAAGTTTCTCAGCGAATCTTCTCAGTAAGTCGCGTTTCTGATCTGGTGTTAGATTCTGCGAAGCACTGCTCTTGCTAGGGCTAGTGTTAGCTAACGTCAGGTCAGAGTCCCGTGAGCTCACCTACTCGCCCGGTGAATCTGGTATGACCCCTCGAGTTCACCAGAATAGATAGGAAAAAAAAAACTTGAATGTTGCCACCTAACGTATGACACCTACGAAGTCCCAATTGCGTTGAATTATAACGGCTACCCTGCCGTTGAGATCGCGGCCCCTGATTGCTTTGCCACAAAAATATACACCCTTACTATCACTCCTTATAATAAATTATAGGGAAGTATAAAGTACTGCCGCAAACAGTTGATGCAGCAGTAAAAGTTCAATTATTCTGAAACAATAGCATATTATTATGTATGTGACAGCAACCTGGTCAAACCCTGAACTGTGCATAGACACCATATTATCACGGTTAATATAATATCGTTGCGTTAAAATGTGCAAATAAGGAGATCTAAATGGTCTAACTTCTAAAACAGTTTTTTTTTATTGCTTAGATGGGTGGACGAGCCCACAGCCCACCTGGTGTTAAGTAGTTACTTGAGCCCATAGACATCTACGACGTAAATGCGCCACCCACCTTGAGACATAAGTTCTAAGGTGTCAATAGTTACAACGGCTGCTCCACTCTTCAAACCGAAACGCATTACTGCTTCACGGCAGAAATAGGCAGAGTGGTGGTACCTACCCGCGCGGACTCACAAGAGGTCCTACCACCGGTAACTGTGCTTTGTTAGCTGTGAGCTTCGTTTCCAGGTCAGAACAGCAGTGCGCTGTCGTGCTGCGACCCCTCCCAGCCGCCGCACCCAGAATGCTTCCCGGTCCAGTTGGACGTGGAAGATCCGTTCTACGATGCGTTCAACGTCACCTGCATGGAGTTCGTCAGATCTGCTCCAGCACTCACTTGTAATTACGGTAAGATCTACACGCTCCTCACCTCATAGTTACATTCATGACAAAAGTTGCAAAGCGATTTCTTTCTAAGATATAACAAAACTTCTTTGGACAAACGTGACGTATGAAGTTCATACTGATCCCGCAGGCGGGTACAAATTTTTCTAATGGAATACGTACTCACCAAATGTTCAGCATTGACTTCCACGGTGAAGGAATAACATCGTGTAATAAAAATCAAACCCGCAAAATTATAATTTGCGTAATTACTGATGGAAATACCTCTTGTGAGTCCGCACGGGTAGGTACCACCACTCCGCTTGTCTCTGCCGTGAAACAGTAATGCGTTTCGGATTGAAGGGTGGTGTAGCCGTTGTAACTATACTGAGACCTTATATCTCAAGGTGGGTGCCGCATTTACGTTGTAGATGTCTATGGCTCTAGTAACCATTTAATACCAGGTGGGCTGTGAGCCCACCGATCTAAGTAATAAAAAAAGAAAAAAATTATTACCTGGATCTGATAGCTGGTATTGCTTAGATGGGTGGATGAGCTCACAGCCCACCTGGTGTTAAGCGGTTACTGGAGCCCATAGACATCCACAACGTAAATGCGCCACCCACCTTGAGATACAAGTTCTAAGGTCTCAAGTATAGTTACAACGGCTGCCCCACCCTTCAAACCGAAACGCATTACTGCTTCACGGCAGAAATAGGCAGGGTTGTGGTACCCACCCGCGCGGACTCACAACAGGTCCTACCACCAGTAAATGGTAGTGTGTGTAATGTTTTCTTTATTGATTTAATGTATTTTCAATGCATAATTTAAAAAAAATATTAGCATTGTGGACTTCTTCTCTATATTCTCTATAAGTGTGGGAAATTTCATACTCCTCCGTCCGCACGATTTTCGTAAAAAGGGATACAAAGTTTTTGCTTCACGTATTAATATATAGATTTTAGAGAGACGTTCATGACACTCTGAACTCAAAGGTTTTCAAGGAATGAATGCTGTGAATTCTACGATTCCACTAAAAAAAGTAAATCTTCAGGTCCCCGTGAGCAGCTGAACCAAGCCACAGCCTTTATCGATGGCTCCACGGTCTACGGGTATACGGCTGCCAGAGCCGGCCAGCTCCGAAACGGTACTGGTGGAACTCTGAGGATGCTGAGGGTCGGGAGTAGAGATCTCCTTCCTCCTTCCACTGATCCAAATGACGGCTGTAATACGGTTGAGATGAGCGCTAAAGGACGCTATTGTTTTGAATCAGGTGATTGTTTTTTTGGGTTTAATTTTGATATTAAATCATGAAAAAAAACTTTTATAAAATTCTCTGATCTTCATGTATTTCTGTTTGCCAACTACTGCATTGTATTACTAAATAGATCTACTTCGATTTCGACCAAAACTACAGTACTTCCTTAAAAATTCGATACGCCATTGCACAAGCCTGTAAATTACACGTATCATTCAAAAAGTAAACTCTGTGGCAAATGGACAAACAGAGTAAAACGTAATTAAAAGGGTTCCATACGCTATTTTAAGACATGATGTTAGTGATATGGTTTCTTGTGAGTCCGCACGGGTGGACATAATTATCCTGCATATTTCTGCCGCGAATCACTAACGCGTTCCGATTTTAAGGGTGGGACATTGTTTTTATTTCCCTACCTAATCGTTGGTGGCCTAATTGGCTATTTCAACTTCGCTCGGACCGGTATGTGAGCTCACGGGCTCAACCAGAGAGAATGGCTAACATTGGTCCAAGCAAGAGAAGTGCTTCCCTAAATCTACTACCGGATCGGAATCGCGACCCACTGAGAAGATCCGGCGAGAACTCAGTGTGTCTGTCTATAGGTTAGTTCTCACGTCGAACTATTCGTCGGAGTTGACGAGTTTGACGAAGACGGTGACCAGTGCTTGAGGCGCCTAAAAGTACCGAGAGTATTACTGGTGGTAGGACCTCTTGTGAGTCCGAGCGGGTGGGTACCACCGCCCTGCCTATTTCTGCTGTGAAGCAGTGATGCGTTTCGGTTTGAAGGGTGGGGCAGCCGTTGAAACTATACTGAGACCTCAGAACTTATATCTCAAGGTGGGTGGCGCATTTGCGTTGTGGATGTCTATGGGCTCCAGTAACCGCTTAATACCAGGTGGGCTGTGAGCTCGTCCACCCATCTAAACAATAAAATAAAAAAAGAGTGTATCCGGGGGATCTGACAAGACACGTTTTGGGCGACGGTAGTTTTATTTTGCCCCGTCGTTTGGGTCGAATATGGGTGGGACAGCCGTTATACAATACGACAGAACTAAACCTCATGCCTCAAGGTAGGTAGCAGCATTCAAGTGACGAGCTCATTGACTCGTACAAAAATAAAAATTATCTCTGTTGGTCAGGCGACGACCGCGCCAACGAGAATCTCCACTTGACGACCATGCACCTGATCTGGGCGCGACAGCACAACCGCGTGGCGACGCTACTGCGCATCTACAACCCCACCTGGACCGATGAGATCGTCTTCCAGGAGACCAGGAAAATTATTGGGGCACAGATGCAGCACATCACTTATTCTGAGTTCTTGCCTTCGATATTAGGTCAGTATGAAATTTAGATAACAACGTGGGAATTTAAACAAACGCATTGCTTCAAACTTCTGAGACAACTTTATTAAATACCTTATAAGAAATAAAATTAAATTTTTTTTTCAGCCGCTATTAACCACTTATCATACGTAGCATCCCAATTAAAATAAATCAAAATAAATTTAAGAAACCTATATTTATAAAAGCCCGGTGCATACAGTACGACACACCGCATGGGCGTGCCGGACAGTCTCGTGCTCATTATCGGGATTTCTTGTCGAACCGCTCTTTTCGATATCGAGTAGCGGGTGCTCCTCACCGCGACTGCTCACGACTGGAGTCCCAGAAGGCTATGTTCTCTCGCCGCTCCTTTTTAGTTTATTCATCAACGACATTCCCCGGTCGCCGCCGACCCAATTAGCTTTATACGCCAACGATACAACCGTTTACTACTCGAGTAGGAACAAGTCCCTTAAAGCGAAAAACCTCCAGAGCACCGCCTTAACCTTCGAACAGTGGTCCGAAAATGGCGCATAGACAGCGAGACCATAGAACTTATATCTCACCATCAAGGTGGTTGGCGCATTTACGTTGTAGACGTCTATGAGTCCAGTAACCACTTAATACCAAGTAACCTGTGAGCTCGTTCAACCATCTTCGTGTTCGAAAGGGTTATAGGGTGTACAGATGTTATTATTATAACAAAGCCATTGTTTCCAGGTGAGGACGTAATGTGGGCTCTGAACCTGACCGTGCAGGACAGCGGCTACTCTGACATGTACGACCCGACCGTGGACCCCTCCGTCGCCAACCATTTCTCTGCAGCCGCCTTCAGATTCGCCCACACACTCCTGCCTGTGAGTATGGAGTTCCCGCACGCAAAGCTTTTATTTTTAAATCAACTTTGATAGATGCTCATGAATTGGAGGTTTTTTGGTACTTTAAGGAAGTCGCCATTCGTATTGACGCGAATCGCTCCCATAGCGCCATCTATCATAGATCTTTTTTTTTCCTTTTTATTGCTTAAGTGGGTGGACGAGCTCATGGTCCACCTGGTGTTAAGCGGTTACCTGAGCCCATAGACATCTACAACGTAAATACCGCCGCCAACCTTGAGATATAAGTTCTAAGGTCTCAGTATAATTACAACGGTTGCCCCACCCTTCAAATCGAAACGCATTACTGCTTCACGGCAGAAATAGGCAGGGTGGTAGTACCTATCTGTGTGGTAGCCTGATCATCTTCCACCGACTGCGGTTCCACACAAATCGCTGCTTACCCTAAGACAGTTGAGGCTTTAAAGTACCAATTATCAGTTTAACCTGTTTTGATGGTTACGAACATCTGAGCCAAAGTTTTTGTTGAACAGTAATATTTAGGATCTTGAAATTTGCATCTCAACAGAAGCGGTGGCTTTCAAGTAGCCTGTGATCTCTAGAAACCACTTCACTTAACATCTAGCACATCTGCAATTAGCGGCTTAGCTCTGCCCTTGGCATTTCTGACGTCCATGAGCGACGGTAACCACTCACCATCAGGTGGGCCGTATGCTCGTCTGCCTACAAGGGCAATAAAAAAAAAGATGTGTGGTGTCGTGGGACACCGGATTGGAACGAAGTTCCTTATTATAAAAATATTAATTATAAGTTCTATTCGAGGTATATAGAAAATAATTATTCGAGTATACATTTTTATTATGATTTTTAATTGATAAAAATAAAAATAAAACTACTTTATTATTTATTTACCTTTTAAACCTTCTCTGGACTTCCACAAATAATTCTAGATCAAAATTTGCCAAATCGGTCCAGCCGTTCTCGAGTTTTAACGAGAATAACGAACAGCAATTCATTTTTATATATATAGATAACATACAAAGCAACATCTATTTATATGAAAAATAATAATAACCGTCTTCACGTAGACTATACCTTAGACACTGTATGGCCATCATACTAAGGCTATACATAAATAATAAAAATCTTACGTTACGGACGTTTTTTCCCGGTTCCGCATCGTCCCATAAGGAAGTTCGTTCAAAAAAAAACTTTCGTGAGAATAAGTTTTACCTTTGCTCTTTCAGGGCTTAATTCACAACGTCGAAGCGAACAACGGAACAGTGAACTACATCCAGCTCCACCAGATGCTGTTCAACCCTTACACGCTGTACAACGACAAGGGAAGCAAGAACGCCGTCAAGTCAGCCATGGACACCCTCGTGCACGCGGTCGATCCTCATGTTACCAGCGAGGTAAATAATAAATACCAATATCCCAAGTGACCTAGTGGATAAGACGCCCGGTGCATTCGTGTCGAGCGATGCGACTCTGTCGGTGTTCGAATCCCGCAGACGTGTACGAACTTTCAAATTTTTTTCCTAGCTATGCTGATAGCCATGAGAGACTATTTCAGCTTTACCCTAACGTGTAGGTGAGCTCTCGGGGTTCAAACCGAAAGTGTTGCTAACACTGGCCCTAGCAAGAGTAGTGCTTCGCAGAATCTACTACCGGATCGGAAAAGCGATCCGGCGAGAAACTCAGTGGGCTGTGTCTATGGGTTAATTTACTCGTCAAGCCCTTCGTCGCAAGCGACGGGTTCGACGAGAACGATGACCGGTGCTTGTGGTATCTAAAAGCACCGGATCGGGAGGATCCGTAATGACGTGCTTAGGGCGACGTCGACTGTTTAGCATTCGGTCCACAGGATCGGGTATGTAATTTCCGGCGGCCACGACAAAAGAGTTTTCGTGGCGTGCCGCCTTCTCTAAATCATTTTCTAATGAAATACGTACATAAACACATGTTCACGATTGACTTTCACGGGGAAGGAATAGCATCGTGTTATATTATACTTATACTTGGAAAAATTATATATTTGTGTACTTACTAACGGTGGGGATACGTAACAACATCATTTGAGTTGAGTGGATCTGTCACTTGTAGAGCGCTCAAGAAACAGTGTGGAAGGAAGTTCGTTCTATGGTTCGCCGGATGGTGCGTGGTAAAAAAAGGTAGTATGGATAGACTTTGCTTCAGTGGTGGACCTTGCAATTCCTTTGATAAAATAATCTTGAGTTCCAGATACAACATGTATACTGTTACTCAGTAGTTCTGCTACTTATGTTGGTGCTGGAAAAGAAGTCCTTATCGACCTGCGGTAGGTTATCAATTCAGTAAAACTGGATCAAAAAATACTTTCAGTTGAGCAATCACCTGTTCGAGAACCCGGCGGTGGCGAGCGGCAACGCGACGACACCGGCGCGGCCCTTCGGCCCCTGCGGCCTGGACCTGGTGTCGCTGAACATCCAGCGCGGCAGGGACCACGGCCTGCCCTCCTACCCGCACTGGAGGGAGCACTGCGGCCTCTCCAGACCGCGCAGCTTCAGTGATCTAAGTGACATCTTCGATGAAACTTCCATGAGCAGAATCGACAAGATTTACAAGTAAGATCTTTTTAATACGCTTTTATTAGCTTCAGACGTACGTATGTTAGTGTGTAACGGAATCTTTGAACATGATTTTGACCCCCTTCAAAACGTCGGATTAACTCGAAATTTGGTATACCTATTAAGGATCGATGACAATTCAAAATAAAATAAAAATTTGAAATACAACTTAAAAATTAAAAATAAACAAATAGTTTAAAAAAACTAACAAAATACGCTTTTATAGAAAATCCAACTAAAAAATAGAAAATAGATTTTAATAAATTTGAATTAAGAATACGTTTACTTACTACTACTATTAGCCAGTTAATGGCTGGTGCCAGAGCGTGGTTTCAGTTCGGTCCCACCCGTGCGACCATCGTCCCTATATATTTTTTTTACTGCTTAGATGGGTGGACGAGCTCACAGCCCGCCTGGTGTTAAGTGGTTACTGGAGCCCATAGACATCTACAACGTAATTGCGCCACCCATCTTGAGATATAAGTTCTAAGGTCTCAGTATAGTTACAACGGCTGCCCTACCCTTCAAATCGAAACGCATTACTGCTTCACGGCAGGAATAGGCAGGGCGGTGGTACCTATCCGCGCGGACTCACAAGAGGTCCTACCACGAAGCTAGCACACCAACGAGTTCAAAGAGTCCCCGGGCGGGCGGTGGCAACAACGTTTTTTTTTTTTACTTACCTATAGTTTACCCAAATATAGTTTGAAAGTATTTTATGAAGTAAAATCAACGAAATCTGTCACCAGTAACGTGGAGGACATAGATCTGTACACGGGCGCTTTGGCCGAGGATCCTAAGGGTCGACTCCTGGGACCCACTCTCACCTGTCTCATCGCAGACCAGTTCTTGAGGCTGAAGATCGGAGACCGTTTCTGGTATGAGACCTCTGACACGGTTGTCGGCTTCACCGCCGGTAAGTACCAACACCGAGTTATAGAATTTTCCAGTTCATATTTAAATAAATTAACAAATGAATGTTATGTGTTTTTATCAGTAAATATAATGTGTATGTAGTTAAATATACAGGATGTCCCAGAAACAATGGATAATCCTGAAACACCTCATAGTAGAACTATTGGGGACACAAAATAAAAAATAAAAATAAAATTTCTTAGCTAGTACCCAAATTACGTATTTTTAAAAAAAAGTTGATATTTTCCATACTGCTGTGCGTTTCTGGAATTATACAACAGCTACAAATAAATGAAATCCATAGGCTTTTTGGTGTTATAATATTCTACATGGACTATACTAAGGAATATACAGGAAATCGTATGAGTGAGTAGCTAGTGTAATTCTTTACAAAAGTTAATCTGAACTTAAATTTAAACATGAGATTTGGTATTTTTTCTTTATTTTTAATTTGGGTAGGTACTACCTAAGAATATTTTTTTTTTTGGATCTTCAATAGCTCTACTATGAGGTGTTTCAGAATTATCTATTCTTTCTGGGTCACCCTGTATACATTTTAAAACTGAGTAATTATGCGGTATTTAAGTTAATTATTTAAAAATTAAAAGCATGAGGCAAATCTACTTTTGGTAAAACATTAAAGCCTTTAAATCTTAAAGATAGTTGCATTAAATATTATTCTGAGAGAGTTAACTAAAACAGAAACTGGTTTTTGACTAGAGTTCGAAAGATAACATTCCTACAGTTCCGTCTCGTGGTGTGCTCTAGACTTAATACTCATCACACCGCGATGCATTCATTCAGACCGATCTTCTCAGTGAATCGCGTTTCTGATCCGGTTGTAGATTCTGTGAAGCACGGCTCTTACTCGGGCTAGTGTTAGCAAACGTCAGGTCAGAGCGCCGTAAATTCTGTGCCTCTACCAGTTCTGTGAATCTAGTTCATACTAGATTTACCCCTTGAGGTTACTAGAATAGATAGGCTGTGGTTTGTTATTTGTCCCTCGCATTCGCGGGATATTTTACTCCGAACATATAAAAGTCCAACACACAATTTCAACAATATCTATAATGTGTACCATATTAAAATATAAACCAAAAGTAAAGTAAACAACGCTAGGCACTAGAAGATAAAAATTAAAACTAAAATAACGTTTTTACATTCAACTTAAATCGACGCGCGCCAATCTTGTTGCATGACGTCACGGGACACCTGCGCGTTCGGGAATGCCGATCGCGACCGATGACGCCCGAATGCGACCGAATGTTGCACGCTACAAGGTAAAAAAAAATCAGACAACACTGATAGAAACTTTCCTACGCAGAACAATTGACGGAAATACGGAAGACGACTCTGGCGGGCGTGATCTGCGCCAACGAGGCCCTGCTGGATGTGGCCCAGCCGCGCGTCATGGAGGCCGTCAGCGCCACCAACCCGCTCGTGGACTGCATGGAACTCCCGCAGCCCAGCTTCAAGCCCTGGGCCGACGGAACCAACACCAAAACCGACAAACCCGGCAAGAAGAAGAAAGGGAAGTAGTGTATACACCACCATGTAACAATTCGGGTTACTACGATAAGAAATATATTATAGATGTATAAGCTAAGCAAGTACAAACCAATGAAAACAAATCATGCTCTATTCAAAGTTGCCTAACACCTTGACGCTTTCGACCCTGGTCTGCGCTTCCGGAGATGGCTTGTGGTAATGACAGCGTCTGTTTTTAAACCAGAAGTATCTTAAAGTCGACAGCAATCCAGTCTACCAGTTCGAAGAATCATCTAACATTTCGTGAACATTTTGCATTTTATTTCAATTTAGTTGAAAATTGTTTTCCATGACCGCCTTTTACATGATTAATCATTAATTAATAATAATTCGGTAAATGAAGTGCTTTTTACATTAATAATTTAAAAATAAATTTTGATTAAAAGACCTAATCATTGGAACGTCATGGCAATTAAATTATTGATATTTTTTTGCTAAAACAAGTCTACGTCAAACCAATTTCATTACAAAAATGTAATGTTACCAATGCCACTGTTATTATTATTCAATTCTAAGTATTGCATTTAATAATGACTAAGTAATATTTTATTATTGTCTGTTGTAGTACCAAGTTTGATGTAATCATTGATGTAGGGTTTTTATATATCAATGAATGTAATTATGTATTATCTGTTAATATTATTGTGTTATTGTTTATTAAATACCTCCTATTAGTGAAACACAATTATTTATAATAAACGACACATTATTCAAATGGAAATTATTTAAAATGAGATTGTTTTTTTATAACTAAGACATTTGAGCTATTTTCTGGAAACATTGTTTTGCTAATATCAGTTATTTAGGCGCTTCAAATTTGAAATCTAACAACTTGCATCCTCATATTAAGTTATTTTTAATAAAATATGAAAAGATGAGAAAAATACTCGTATTTTTAGTATTGCAATACTATCAAGCGCGTGAAGTAATCAGGTGCATGATAAAAATTTCCAAGAAGATAACGTTTCTATCACTTTTGTTTACTGATACCTTACAACGTTTTCCGGTGTCGATTGGTATGACAATAAGAGCATCCGTATTTAAATTACGTAATTACAATTCCTTACATAATTAGTGCGCCACAAATCATTCTTGAATTCGGTTCATAGCATTCAATCAATTTACACTTGAATTGTTTATTGTCTGGAACATTACGCATGTGTTAAAGGACGTTGACAAGTCTATACAAAATTTCGTCAAACGTGTAATAATCAAAAATACATTTACTTTTCATACGTCTACAATCTCGCAATTTGGAATATGTCTTTTTTGTCATAATTAGAGATTGGATTTAATCGACTTATCTATTGTTTTAACATTTCGATTTAAACGGTGAAACAGCTCAGGTAATTCCCGTTGTAGTAAGCTAATAACTAATAAAATTAATTTATTATTCTACGCTTGTATACATAATTAAGAAATGACAAAGCTTCATTGTTAAATTTGTGGATTGGAGCCGTACTCGACAATGAAGATGAGATGAGCGCTGCTAACTCCGAACACAATTTAGCACGATAGATAGTAGATTAACTGACACATCGGAGCGCGGAACTGTCTGTCTGTCCGTCATTGCCTACATTACGGGTTTAGAATTTTGAACTAAAGCGCCTAGTTTAAAATAGTAAATGAACGTTGTTTATCGATTGGTTATTGCAGCTTTATCTACGGAAACAATCCTGCGTATTACTAATGACATATTTTAAAGTAATCTAGTACCTAATCTTCTGATCAAATGTCAACTTAAATTTAAACCACTTTTTTTTAATAATAGTTCTTTATTAATGTATGTTGATTGGAGTGTTTATTATTATAAATAAATAAAACTAAGAAAGAACTCATGATTGTTTTCTTATTGTTGGCATAGAATTGTGTAGTTGTTATTAGCATAGATAGAGCAAGAATTAATGCTCTTGTAAAGCATGTAAGGAGGATCGACCGCCCACTGGCGCGGTGTTGGCCATACTTGAAAAACTCGTATACAGTGTCTTAATAGCAAAAGCTTAAGCCATAATAACTGTCATATAACTTCTGTTCATTTCTAAATAATATTAATATATACAACGTATTAATTTATATTTTACTAGCGGCCCGCTCCGGCTTCGCTCGGGTCTTTAACAAAAATGTCAACGATATTTGACGTTGTTTTATTTTTTTAAATAAAAGAACACTTGTTCCGGCATAACTATAATAGTTGGACATATGCTGTCGCGACACTCTTTGTAAATAATAATTGGTTCTACAAAGTCGTAGTACATTATTTTATTCTATCATAAATAGTTTTCGCAGGGCACGCGATGTAAAGAATATTTTATGTAATTTTTTTACACATTGGGTTACATTATTGAAGTTTTAGTAAGAATCCCTACTTTATTCAAAAAAGATTTAGCCTATGTCACTCGGGAATAGTGTAGCTTCCAAACAGTGAAAGAATTTCCCAAATTGGTTCCGTAGTTTCGGAGCCTATTTAATACAAACAAACAAACAAATCTTTCCTCTTTATAATATTAGTATAGATTAATGATATTAATATATATGTTGTGACTACGAGTATACTGAGACCTTAAAACTTACATCTCGAGGTGGGTGCCGCATTTACGTTGTAGATGTCTATGTGCTCCAGTAACCACTTAACACCAGGTGGGCTGTGAGCTCGTCCAACCATCTAAGTGATAAAAAAAACAATTGGCTATACCGTCTATTATATTTAATTCACATGTCATGATGTTTGTCCGGGATGAACTCCGAAACTACCTATTGGATTTTAAGGTTTTTTTTTTCAAATTATGTATAATACTTTGGTCTTGAGTGATAGGATAATATTTTCTCGATTTATAAGCGCAGGAATGGATTCTGTCCTACCAGAACAACAACGCGACAGTTGGTGGCACAAGAATACATAGTTTCAAGAAATCGATTCTTTTCACACAACTAGGGATAGTCACGGCGAAGCGTGACGAATATGCTTAGTGCGAGTTTTTTAACGTAAGCGTAAAAGTTGACTGAAATTTGTATGGAGTTGGAACGTTTGCCTACATTTGTCGCTAAGTCCAATTCGGATGGAGTTACATCAATGATAGGAATCGTCAAGAAATTCAGGGCTTACTGTTTTCCAATATATGTAGATACGAATAGAGTACGTATATAATATATTTTCAAACGATGTATGTACATTGTTTAACAAGATTTTGAAGACAAGGAATTCTTGATATTATAATAATATGTAGTTTGAAGACACACTTTCTTCATAACGGTTGTTGATAAATTATATTGAAATTGCAACACATAACTGGTTTGCGATATCTATTGTAGATAATAATCTTCTGTATACAGCGATAAGAGGCCTGCCGTTGTACGCCTTACGAAAATTTCACTGGAAAGATTTCGATCCATAGTTTTTTAATTGAAATTTGATGGCGTTATAAATTTGCTGAATCGCGCTTTGGCTATGTGGTTTAATAAAAAAATGTTTTTTTTCCAGTATTTTTTTAAGCTAACCCAGATGTAGTTATAGTCACAACTAGTATTAATTAATAAGAGGCCGTAACTTAGTTTTGGCCGTGTGTACTCTGGAAGAAACAAGAGACTGTCATCCTGAATACGGGACGGGGATTTAGGATGGTCTTCCATCGTCTATCTCAGTGCTACTTATCTACCGTTACAGGGAAAAGAAGTATATGACAGCGGTTTTACTTGAATCTTAATTCGATTATTTTTTTTTTATTGCTTATATGGGTGGACGAGCTCACAGCCCACCTGGTGCCAAGTGGCCACTGGAGCCCATAGACATCCACAACGTAAATGCGCCACCCACCTTGAGATATAAATTCTAAGGTCTCAAGTATAGTTACAACGGCTGCCCCACCCTTCTAACCGAAACGCATTACTGCTTCACGGCAGAAATAGGCAGGGCGGTGGTACCCACCCGCGCGGACTCACAACAGGTCCTACCACCAGTAAAATTGTTTATTTATTTAAGACGCTTCAATTTTATTTATCTAAATATGTAGTTTGGTTCCTATAGCTGTTAGAGTTCCTAGAATATTCCGTAGCTATCACAACAATAACAATCACGATTACATCAACGTTACGTAACTGACCCTCGTATCTATCGTCACTTACAGAATGAATCAGTTTAATACAATTATTAACAACGTTTTTGGCTGTGTGGGGGTGCGTCGACCTTGCAGGCCTTAACTCGTCTATGTGTACTGAATTGGATTATCCTTTTTAATAAATAAGCTGTGTGCTTAGTGCGAGTTTTTTAACTTCTCGATCGCGTAAAAACTTACTCAAATTTGTATGGAGTTGCATACAAATACATACAAAAATGACAGTAGGTACCCATGGAACTCGTCGCAGTCCGAGATCTGAGAATTAGCACAGAATTCTCATCAGCCGAAAGAGTTTCTCGACAGATCTTCTCAGTGGGTGGCGGTTCCGACAAGTCTCGATTCAACCTAAAAACATCTCTTTCTGTGGTTTCATAAACTGTTATAATTTTACCGAATTTGTCATAATAACTATCAAAGTTCCTACTTACAGGTTTTCTTTGCTGGTTCAATCTTGTACCACTTAACATCAGGTGAACCGTGATTTTTATCTTACAAAATAAATAATAAATTTCACAGAGTCAATGTGATCATCCTCATAAATATTCCTCTTCCTGCACCTCATAAAAAAACAATACCTGATGGATTGTTTGCGTGTAGGAAGAAGATTTGCGGTCATAAACAATGTACGCTTTTGTAGCTGACATTGAAGGTTTGGCTCCGGTCCAAGGGGGAGCCCGAACAATGTAACAAACTTATTGACATATTATCGACTTCGGAGCTAGCTATATTTGAGTTGAGACAGCAAATAGATTAGATAGCCATAAAGCCCAATCATGCGGACTCGCAATATGACCTGGTATCGAGAGAATTAGGCTGTTAGGTAGGAAAATCAATGAGGACACTATGTGGCGGTAGTTCACGAAGCCGAGACAGCCATCATATCAAAATACTCTGGCTTGCTTTAATAATACATAGTTACATAACTATTGTCCAACCGCCGAGTATGCCATTGATTCAACATCAAATTTAGCGCAAAACATTTACTACATTTATCTCAAGTGATACAATCATTCATTTCTCAATGATAACAATCATTCGTTAACAGGGCAAACAAACAACCAAATGCTTTTCATCGCAAGCTGTACGCCACCTAAAACGTCCGTTATATCACGAGCCGTCAGGAATACATTAAGGGGCCGGTCAATAGTCTACCTAACAAACGCTTCCTTCCCTCTGACTAGTCCCGTATAAATCAAATAAATCAAAACGTACCCACATCTAGTGGTTAATGAATGTAAGCCAAAACAATAACTTTTCCGACCGAGTCTGTTTATAATTAGGTAAATTCCGATTTCTCAATAAAACTGGATTAACGATGTTTACAATATTGCGGAGGTTACCTACGTGTTGGAAAATTGTAAAATAATTCATGTTACAAATAGTCTCGAAAGATACTTAAGTTTTTGTATATTTAGTTTGTAGAAGGATATCGCAATGTGAATGCTGACTGCCACCGTCCCATCTTGAGGCGTGAGGCCGAAATCTCAGTTGAATTATAGAACGGCTGTCTCAGCACTTAAGCCGAAACGCACAACTACTTCCGCCCAGAA